GAGTATGTTAATTGTGAATTTTTGTAAAACGGTGGCATTTGAATTTTTTAAATTGCGACTATTTCAGCAAGCACTAAAAAATTCCAGCAATTTCTCTTCGACACTTTTGTTATAAAGTTTGTTAGCTGATAGCTCTAGGTTGAGCGGTTGCCGAGATACAAAAGTATAATTTATCATTGGCCCACCAGGCACTTCTAACTAGATTGAGATGGTAGTACTTGCATGAAATTAAACTAAACCTTACATCAGACAAAGGTTTAAAATCATTGTAGATTAAGGGTATATGTAGCCTCAATGAACATATTAATTTCGGTTAACAATATTTTTGAAACATTAACTTTTAACCCGTTAATGCCTTATCAAGGTGCGGATCTAGGATTTGTTTAAACTTAAACAGGCATTTTAGGTTAATTTCTTTCAAAAAAATACATTTTAATGCTATAGCTATTTACTGGTAGTTCTGAATCCGCACCTGTCATTAGATACACAACCATAATGTACATATTCTAAGCTCCAACAAGATGTGTATCTCCTATAGGAAATTCGATAGAATTAGAACTGCATGCTTAATGGTATCTAGTCTTCTAAGACACACAAGTGCATGAGATATTTGTACTGTAAAACAATTATCGTGTCTTGGGTGGTTTGAAGCCTGCTAATTTAACATGTCCCAACAGTACCAATTGATCACATATTGTAGATATAAATTATATAATCTATACTGTGACATTGAAAATAGAACGTCCAGTAATACTGAATCTATTACAAAGATTTGTTTAGGTTAGGACAAGATACGATCATCTTTTCAAAGATATTGATACAGTCCTTTTTGTAATATCGTCTGTTCTTACAAAAAAGTGAGCAAACTATACAGGATTATCCAAATTAAGTGTCCACCATTAGTAACTTTGTTATTAGTGAAAATACAAAGTTGTTTGAATTAGCAAACTAGTAGCATTTTTAACGCTGGTAAAAATGAGAAATAAAAAAAAAACAATTGAGAGTCGTTATTTTAGTAAAATAACATTTTTTTAAATGGAAACCCCTGTATATTATATTTTTTTCTGTTGAAGCATCAAATTTTAAACAAAAAAGTTCATAATGACTTTTCCGCTAAAGTCAAAAATAAATTCAAAATAACGATAAATATTTTTAATTATTTGCAGTATTATAATATTAAGACGGCTATGAAAACAACATGGCGTTCGCGATTTGACAGCATTAAGATAAGCGACAAATTGTTAAACTGGACATACTCGCAACTAGAAGGCTTTGGAAAACAATGATAAAATCAAATAATGTCAAACATTAGTGTAAATACTTGTTTATAAGCTTTATTGTGTCATTAATTTAAAGAAAAATGTTCTCCCATGAAGAAAAGTGTGATATGTTAGAATGCTATTTAGTGTGCAGAAAATCCTCCTTGAGAGCAAGAGAATACTACAGTGAATTATATCCCGCTCGCATTCAACCGTATGAACGATATTTTCTGAGACTTTATCGAAAATTTAGGCGCAACGAAAATGTTTTTGCTAAAACAAGGGCAAAAAAAGAATTCATAATAAGCGAGGCCACGGAAATTGCAGTTATTGGATATTTTGAAGCTTATCGTGAGAATTCAATAGCAGATATTCTCAAGGACTCTAATTTCAGTTATGGTACTGTTCAAAGGATTTTAAAAAAATACAAATTTATTCCGTATAAGTACCGACCAGTTCAAACGCTTTTGGCAGGGGATCCAGAGAGAAGACTTGTTTTTTGCCATTGGTATCTTAGCTTCTGTCGCCAAAATGTAAATAACTTTCGTTACCTTTTATGGACAGATGAATCAAATTTTTCAAATTCTGGAATGTTTAATAGAAAAAACCACCATTATTGGTCAAGAGAAAATCTTTTGTTAGTACATCCAAGAGGCCCACAAGTCCGTTTCAGTTTCAACGTTTGGTGCGGTATAATTGGTTCAAAAATTGTTGGCCCGTTCTTTTATGAGGAAACCCTAACTGGTGATAGATATGTGGAATTTATGTCAGAAATTCTGACTAATTTCTTAGACGAATTGGATCTTATAAGTAGACATCATCTGCATTTTCAGCAAGATGGCGCACCTGCCCACAACTCCAGAGGTACTTATCATTTTCTAAGTACTACTTTTAATGATCAGTGGATAGGAACAAATGGCCCAATACAGTGGCCTCCCAGATCACCAGATCTAAACCCACTTGATTACTTCTTGTGGGGTTACTTAAAGAACCAAATTTACAAGCGAAGGTACGATAACCTTGACGCGTTAAAGACTGCAGTTAGGGAAAAGATAACCCAGATAGATGGTAGGACCATACTTAAGACAGTTCGAGCAGTTGAGAAACGTGCCCAAAAATGTATTGAAGAACAAGGTGGTGTTTTCGAGCATCTTCTTTAAAAAAAATTGTTATTGTATTTTGTAAGATTATAAGTTGATGTTGAAAATAAAGTTTGTCGATACAATTTAATTGTTTCAGATTGGAGGCCATAACTTCAACAATTTGTAACCTAGGAGAAAAGTTATTGTAAGCTTTTTTGTTTAAAATTTGATGCTTTAACAGAAAAAAATATAATATACAGGGGTTTCCATTTAAAAATATGTTATTTTACTGAAAAAAATCAAAATAACGACTCTCAATTGTTTTTTTTTATTTCTCATTTTTACCAGCGTTAAAAATGCCACTAGTTTGCTAATTCAAACAACTTTGTATGTTCACTAATAACAAAGTTACTAATGGTGGACACTTAATTTGGATAACCCTGTAGTTGAGTTTTGTAGCTACAACTGACATTTGGTCATCGACCATCGTAAAATACGTGGTGAAGGGCTGCTTTCATCTGTGCATTGTGCCTAGAGTGAGAAGTCGAGAAAGATTTCTACAGGAGCTTGATGGGGTGAAAATAGTGGTCTTGTGTGAGGCTGGTTGGTTCTTAAAAGCCAAGAGCACATCAGTCTACAACAGTTTTGGACTTACTTCATACCGTCCCCAGTTTCTCCTATCTCTCACTTTTAGGCAACGCTATTGTCTTTAGTGATGAGTCCAAATTCTGTTTGGGGATGCATGATGGCCGTGCAGGAGTGAGAAGGCGACGAGGTGAAAGGCGAGATTTACAATTTTCTATGGAAATGCATCTGCAACACACTGTTGGAATTATTGTATCAGTGGCTATTCCGTACAGAAGCAGGTCACCTTTGGTGTTCATTAAAGACAACATGACCGCCGGGTGAGAGGTGAGAGGTGAGGGAACCGCATGTCTTGCTTACTAACCCACATCTCAACAAGATAATGCGCGACCGTATATAACCAGAATTACGTTCGTTCATTTTAAAGACAATCAAGTCGATTTATTTCCTTAGCCCCTAGGTCTCTCTATCTTTCATCGATTAAACACGCTTAGGATATTATTGGAAGAATATTACTCCGTTTACCCTATCGCCCTTAGACTCCAGCGGCACTTCGGCACGAGGTACAAGTAGCCTGGGATGAGATACCTCAAGATTTTTTATCAGCGGTTGGATTTTCCTAAAATTTGTATAATTCCTAACTCCAAGAGACATGTATACAAAAAATGGTTGTAATAAATGCATTATTACTGGAACTTCCTTTTTCTGTGTATATTTAGATGATATTTCGAAAAATATTACAGATAATCTATAACGTAGACTATAATATGCAGAAGATTTCCCTTCTATACATGTTTACGAGCTTTGTTGCTCTGTAGCTATCGCAGAAAATAAACAAAATATGCCTCACATCAAAATTAGCTTCTGTGTCTGTGTGTCTGTTCTTATGATTAAGAAAATGAAAGTTTCATTCCTTCTGTAAAAATATTGTATTTTGCAATATTAAAGTAGCTACGAATAGCAAAAAGTATTCATTTGATAGATGTGTAAAAATAGCATCTAGGATATATTTAAGATGTTTATGAATGTTTTGGAAACGGAATCAGCACTAATAGATACTAATTTAAAAAGAAGGAGGTAACTACATATAACTAAGAACCGGTTCTGCGAACATATTCGACAGGGAAAGTTCTGTTGGTTGACTTAAAAACATTTGATAAATGCAAATATTTCTTCTTATCATTAAAAAACGCTTTACTTGCTTTGATAATAATGCGTAAAACCAGTGCTTGCGGCTATTCTACCTTCAGCGCCTTCAGCTGATACAAATGACATATGACAATGTATTTCCAAGTGCTTAAGGTCGTGTTCCCCTTTTTGTTCAACTGCATACTTGGAGTACTATTCAAAATCCTTTCATCTGATTATTTCATGGTGTATATCGAGATGACTAAGAAGTTATGTTATCGTTTTATCAAAAATACATTTTTGTGCATTTTTCTTTCAATCGTAACTTAGCAAATATTAGTACAGCTCTGAAATTATATATCAAAATTCCACTGTTATAGTAGAGCTGAGCGGGCGAATACTTTTATTCTTATTACTTTTCCTCTTCGAAAATATTCGAGTTTCTTAACAGTCATTTTGCACCAAATTCATTTTGCAAGAAAAGCAAAGATGTTTTGGGGACAAAATAATAAGAAAAAAGTGATCATCCGCTCAGTTCTTTCATAAAAGTGGAATATCCACATACAATTTTAGATCGGTAGATACTATTATTCGTTAAAAAGTAACAAGCGAAGAAAAAATGCTCAAAAAATAAAAAATTTGAGAAAAAAGGAACTGATAACATTGTTCTTAGTCATCTCTATACACAACATGAAATAATCTGACGAGCTATTGAAAAAAACATGCGGCGCTAACTACCCAATACTAAGCGCAGACAAAGTACAAGGCGTTGAATATGAAGAAGGCGCAAGCATTTAAAAATAACGTAAACGTAATCTGCTAATTTTGAAAAGAAGCACATGTGTCTTTCCTATCACTCTATTTGTTGTTTCCTTTTTTCTTTCTGAACTATAGCTGTGTGTTGTCAGCGTACGGATGTATCTGAGACGTTGTTTTGTGTGTTTTGTTCTCGGTGTTGCAGCGATTGCCCGCTGTTCTGAGCAGGATAGGTATTATTCTCGCCAGTCCGTTGGTAAGCAGCATCAACCACCTGCTTTTATCATCAGAACGCCATCTGTCGCTTATTGCATCCTCTCTTCCTCTTTCCTTTATGCTTCTGACTATGTTTACTATTTGGAGACTGCAGATAATAGATGTCAATCTCATGATGCTCAAACCTCAAACCACAGCACATTTAATACCTACTATACAGCAACGCTTCTCCCTAAAACTTACGCTGATTTTTTGTGCGAATCTCTGTAACCTTAAAAGCTCGACAAGCGCTGCAAGAAACTGCCACGAGCAGTCATGATTGCGCGCGAGGTATTTAAACAGTTAATTATCCACAGTTTTATGCATAATATGAATGGGTATTACGCAACGAATTAGAATAGATTAGAGAGAGCCAAACCAATATGGAAACATTGCATTGTTGGTCAAAATTGCGTAGTCTAACACCACAATTATGTGCAAAAACTAGCACTTTCAAAAAATGACACTAGATATACGAATATAATGACAGAACTGTCAAAAAGTTGACTTCTGCCAAGTGCACTTTGATCCTCACTACAGACTATAAATAAATCCTCGAGTGGCTTCTTCTACCTAGTCTGAATTCGTTGGTTTTACGCGATAGAAATAATAATCGTTACTCGGAACCAACTCTCTTGCGAGGTTAATACCAAGTTGATTTTTGACGAACTGTTTGAAAGGCATGCCTCTGTAGGTATTCGGACTTTGCTGTTATCTTTAAATGCTTCAAATGAAGAACGTGCCTGTGAGCTATGTACATTTTGCCATTGGACGGTCACGGACATTGTGAAACAGATTGGAAGGGATGTTAAGGGGTATAAACTGAAATTCCGCAGTTTCTATGTCGATTGGGCGTTTTAATGCTTGTATACAATTTCCGATGACCTATTAGAAATTGTGTAGTTGCACATTTTTGTAGAAACTAGTTGGTTTAGACTATAGCTTAGAACATTTTTCAACTAGTCGTTCGATGTTGGGAGTAATACTTAGCCCAATGACGGATGAGTAATTTCCACTTCCCCTTGGCACTGTTTGCGTTAGACTACGGTTGCTATGGATGCGAATTCTGACGAAATTTAGTTCTGACGAATACGTTTCTGCCGCCCAGCAAATATGGACGAAGTATGAAGAACTTTATTTACTTACTTGAAAAACTGAAGGCGCTGTTGTTAAATGGTGGAAAACAGAGCATTTTAATTCTTTATTTTCTCGTAGAGATGACAAAGGAGAGATAGAAAGGTTATTCTTGAATATTCTTACATCTCATAACCCAGAGTAAACTGTTCTGGTACAGAAGGATTTTCAATATATCATTGTCCATGGTGAAATAACCATGTAAGTACGCGAAAAAGGTGCAGGTTGTACGAAAATATCATTTTTTTTTAACGACGTCGTACATACTCTGACGTGCTGATCGCTGCCAGTGTAAATATGCTCATTGGAAAACAGATGTTTGTTTATTTGGACGAATTAGTCAGAACTCGTCAAAACAAAACTTTCACTGTCTGAAGTGTTTTCTTCTATATCAGTAAACGTTTTTTTAGTCTATTCTTTAACTCTGCTTCATTATTATTTGTTCTCTCTCGATTTCATCTTCTGCGATAAATTAAAATGGCAGCTTAGCATGGAAACCGTCTATACTCCAAACTACGCCACAGTTATTACCTTGTAGATTGTTACTCGCTTAGAGTGGCTGGAATAAAGCGGCACCCTTCCATTCAAACAGTCTGTTCAAATACAACCCGGTTTTAAACGATGGTGTCGCAAGAGTTGCTCCCAGTCTCTGGAGTCTGAATCGAAACCACTGGAATCAGAATCGGAATCAAAGCCATCGGAATCAATTCCTTCACTCCCTCTGCGATATCCTTTGGATGGACCCGGTTAGAACCCACCCAACTCTATTATGAGCTACGCAAATCGGTCATATCGCCGGGAGTCAAGTTGCGGTATAACATGGAAAAAGCAGTATCGGGGATCCTAAAATTGTGGAACACAAATACTCAAAGAAACTGCCCAGTAGTACAATCCGAGATCCCATGTACAACTCTCGGCATTCGAATAAAGTACAATATTCGTCAAGAATTCTTCTTCAACCATCATTACTGTCAAAACTCCTAGTTTCGATTACACCAATCTGATGCTTTCATAGGCTTGACTACAGGCGATTAGATGTACCGGATGAGCCAATAATATAGGATCTTGGCAACCGCTCAACTTAGAGCGATCAATTAAACATTTTTGTAATAAAAGAGGCCAAAATAAATTGCTGGAAATAATTTTCAGCTTCTTAAAATACCGATAGCTGGCGTCATTCTAATTACAAGTTGGGCTTGCAATATAAGCAATTCATGAAATATCGTATATATTTTTTCATTTATCAGGCGAAAGCAACACTGGCATTTATGAGAGAGCATAAAAACAAAATTTAAATTGAAATATTTCAAAATCGTGTCATACTGGTACATTTTACGCAATAGTCATAGGATAAAACTTTCTTCTTGATGTAATTTAGGCTTATTGCTTTATATATCTCCATGCCGTATAAAGATCTTGAACTGCGGTTTCCACCATGCTGTAGGATTTACTCTGCACTTTCCGGTCAATATGAAAAAACTTTTTATTTGGAATTTTCGAAAACATCCGAAAACACGCTGACACATCCAAAAAGCGCCATCTATCGACCACCAACTGAACTGAACCGACAAGAATTCGTTCAGAGTTCAGAGCGCGAGCGAATACTCTTTCAAACGAACCCAAGGTCATCAAAATCGGTTCAACCAAACAGAAGTGCATGATTTTGTCTGAAATGACATTCAACCCTTCCACCACCTTAAGCTAGCCAACATATGAATAAATGACATCGACTAAAGAGATCGAAAATTATGAATTTTTGCAAAATAATGGTGTTTCGGTTTTTAAATTGGAATGAACCAAGTAGAGGCCATCTTAGAAAGCTGAAAATAATTTCCAGCAATTTCTCTTGGTTACTTTCATTATAATAATTGTTTTCGGATACCTCTAGTTTGAGTGGTTCATCGAAAATCAGTAATTCCCTGTGCGAATGCCGCGCCAAATTAAGACCAGCTTGCATTGATGGAAATTGGCAATATTTTTTTCAAAATTGTTGCATATGTAATTATGCTAATAAAAAAGAGGTACCAGTTCATCAGAACTAACCAACGACTAGACGTATCTGTCACTGTATTCGAATGTCTGCCAAATTTGCATTTCTTGAAACATGAGATATTTTGTAGCACATTGGATCCCAATTACCAAATTATTGTGGCTTGTAACTCTGCATATTAGTATCGATATTTTATTATAAATATACCCTCAGCATAAAAAAATCATATTATATTTTTAAATCAATCAAGTAGAAGTAGTTTGAAATGAGAATATAAGTACTGCTGTTAATTTTCAATCAAATGATTCAAAAATTTCCAACGTTATCTGCATTTTTCACTATAGTCCCCTTGTGTTGCACTTACTATATCTATCTATCTACACACTCCTTCAGCAACAATATGTTACAACATCCACCGTAATGTCTGGAGAGGGATAAAAATCGAGAAACTTTGCACCACGAGTTATACAGGGTGGCGCATCGAAAACGAAACAGACGCATTTACTGGCAGCTCAGTTTTTTTTGGAAAAACGCTTAGACCCGTCATTTTTGTTTTCGAGGGGGACACAAATTTGGCAAAAAATCACGTTAGCACGTGCAGCCCCCGAAGCCGGGGTGACACCACCCCCAAAATCTTAAATGGAAAGGGGGGTCGAGTGATACCTTATTTTAAAGGTCTTTCAATTCCCTTTATAATGATATAAAATTAATGTACTTCAGTTCAGTAGTTTTGAAGATTTATTGATTTAAAGCTTAGATAAAACTAATACATCATCATTAGCGGAGATCAATACATTTAGCAGCAAAGTAATTTAAAAATGAAGAACGAACTGACCCGTTAGGCAAGTAAATGTTGAAAATAGCCACCATGACCCTCCATGCAATAATAAAGATTTTGCTCAAAACGTTGTCGCACATTTTGCAATATTTGACGACTAATTTGGTAGGGCACCATCCTGTTGGAACATCAACCTATTCGCAATGTACCGCCGATCATTCTGATTTTCAATTATGGCTATTAATACAGGATCTATGGCGTCTTCCAGTAATTCCAAATACATTTCACCGATCAAATTTCCAGGTAAGAAAAAAGGACCAACTAAATGATCGCCAAAAATACCAGCCCAAATATTTAATTTTTGTGGCTGCTGTGTATGAACCTCATGATAAATTCTGGGATTAGAATCGGACCAATTTCGGCAGTTATGACGATTTACTACGCCATTTAAGAAAAAGGAACATTTGTCGGAAAAGCAAGTGTTGAATAGAAAATGTTCATCGACTATAATTCGTTCACTCATATCTTCACAAAATTTTAATCTCCGATCAAAATCGTCTTCATTAAGTTTTTGTACCAGGTGAATTTTATACGTATGAAAACTATAGTCCTTTAAAATCCGTTGGACAGTACGTCGACTAACACCACACACAATATCCAATTTGGGGGTACTTAACGTAGGATCTACATAAACTTGCCCCCCCACTTATTGCTTCGTTCCTTATGGGATTTTCAATGATGCGTTTTTTATTGGCGACTGACCCAGCTTCCCGAAATTTAGCTACAAGTTCTTGAACATATTTTCGATGCACGTTGCTGTTCTCATGTCGCTCATTAAATATTTCTGCTGTTCTAGTAGCGCACTGATTATTTCCGAAAAATATTTCGATAATTTCAACTCTTTCCGCTGTGGAATATACCATGGTAAATTTATGTAATAAAGCGTTACAAGTTATTTTAGCAACAAAGTTTGGTCAAATCAATAGCAAACTATGTACTAAATTCCTATTTAAAATAAGTACGAGATACTTCCTTATCTTTCTTCAAGAAATAACTTTTTTGCCACAAAAAAACGCTCCAATAGCTATTTTCAACAACAAAATGATAAACAAACCATGGGTGTAGTGAAAAAAGCATTTAATTATTAAGTAAATTCTTTTACTCAAATTTCTTCTGAATGTAGTACAGACCAACCTGATGTACCTATTAAAGTCTACTTTAAGCTTTAAATCAATATATCTTCAAAGCTTCAAAGCTACTGAACTGAAGCTCATGTATTTTACATCATTATAAAGGGAATTGAAAGACCTTTAAAATAAGGTATCACTCGACCCCCCTTTCCATTTAAGATTTTAGGGTTGATGTCACCCCCGCCCAGGGGGCTGCACGTGTTAACGTGATTTTTTGCCAAACTTGTGCCCCCTAGAAAACAAAATCGACGGGTCTTTGCGTTTTTCCAAAAAAAAACTGAGCTGCTAATAAATGCGTCTGTTTCGTTTTCGATGCGCACCCTGTATAATATGTATAAAATAATCCTGTTAAGAAATAACATACAATGACGATGACTAATACATATACCAGGGTCTATGACCTTTGTATATGACATGGCAAAATTGTTTCAAGTGCCACTGATATCAAATCGACTATTTACTATAACATCTGTGAGATTTTGTAATTCCTATCAACCTTATTATTATTTACCTCACCTCTCCATTTTTTTTTTGCTTTTTAAAGAATGTGCACGCCTTTTCATAATTGGGATTTTTTCCAGTTTACATTAGACTCAATACGTGAAGCTATTGATACACACACATACACTCACACTATCTTAAATAGGCACCTCTCGTAGGAATACAAATGTCTAAACATATCATTTTTAACTTAATATATTATCCACCACTTGATATTACTCGTAAATGGTCAACAAGAACTTATCAGCTGCTCTGTCTAAATAGCACTTCTGCATGTCTGTTGTCAAAGTGTTAAAAGAGATAAGTCAACATAGTTTTGGTTATTCTGCTATTGTGCGGTCGAATCGCTTTCCTAAGAAGCAATGGAAGCAATATTTCAGACTGATTGAAAGCTTCTAAATCTTCACCTCAGTAGTAAACTTTCTCATTTAAAAAAATAAAAACAATTGTTTCCTGCTCTTAGCAAGCTCATGTAATAGAGCTGGAAAATTGCGTTTTGAATACTTACACATCGAAAAATTTCTACTTAAGGCATTTTATCACATCAAATCACCTGGATAAAATTAATAAGTCATTGTTATAACTTCATGTTTATCTTCTTATTTTCTATATTTTCTTTTTTACTTTATAGCAGGCCCTGTAGTTGTTAAAATTCTATGATAATTATACTGTGTGTTCGAAGGTTGCAATTTCAGTCTATAATCCATTAGCCTTCTCGACCTTTTTGTTCTTATAATATTCAAATGAGCGACAGAAACGCAACGGAAACATTAACACGCTTTCTATGTTTACGCTATTTTTGGGAATAGGTAAGGGTAAGTCAGTGCAGATGTGGAAATAATATTAGGTAGATAACTAAGTTGTTTACTTAGTTTGATTTGCTGATTTAGAAATCCCTTACCTGTAAAACAGAAAAAACATTATTATAGTATATATCTGAACTAGATTACCCTAAATTTAGATTTTAGTTACGTCAAACATACCAACACTAGCCAACATAACATACGACTTTACCTTTCTAGTTTGCCTTCTACGTTTGTGCATGATTTTTAAAACCTAGTCAACCAAATATTCCGTTTACCATATAATAACAAACTGCTATGTCATCGGTTATTTTCTGAAATACATGCAACAATTTGGTTGATTATCTTTTAAGGAAGTTTACTTTAGATAAAGCCAAAAAGTATAATATTGGAAGGAACATTACGATTTCATCTATTTCTCTATTAACACAGTTAAGTTTTATATTAAGCGACATAGTAGATTTTTAATGGCTGCTAATTTCTGTTAAAATAAAGGAGTTCGCGGTAAAATGCTTTCAAGTAACTAGATATACTGGATTAATGAAGATTTGATACAACATAATCAATCAAGGGTATATAAAATCGGAATGAATTCCAATGTAGAGGTATCAAAGCTTGTGCGACAGATTGAACATATTAAGTGTTTTTGAATTTGAGAGTCACTTATTTTCCAGAATTTCATTTACGTTTATTTTGGTTATTATTGTTAGGAAACCGCTGAACAAGAATATTATTCCACATTCTGTGAAAGCCCTATGTTTAGAGTAAGTTAGTTTTGATTGATGGTATCACATACAAGTATTGATTTTTTTATATTTAGTCACGTAGGAGCATAATTATTTAACTTATTATATCATGCAAATGCAATATGGTAAATCATACTTACCGGACGTATAGTTATTGTTGAAAACAATAACCACAGCTGCAAAAACCCAACACTCTGATGGCTGCTTTATAATTTATCCTACATGTTACTCAAGTTTAAATAAAAAGCTCTATCTGAAGGAAAAGTTACTAAACAACTACATATTCTGGAGATATAAATTCCAAAGTATCACTCATCGTAACCTAAGCAACTACTAATAAACGTCCAGAGTGCTTATAATCATACATGAAATGCAAATAATTAAATGTGCGGTATTTTACAGGTAAGGCAGAAGAGTTTACCTTGGAATAGAGGCACTACGGTATTTACCATTTTGCATTCGCTTATTATTTGCTTACACGAAGGTGCTTATTATTAACAAAAAATATATTGAGTTAAATACTCTTGCAGTCTACTAAAAATTATTGTCATGGTACGCAATGCGAGTGGTTGAAAAAGGAGTGTTTTTTTTAATTCATCTAAAATGTGTTATAGTTTATCAGTGAACTCAAAAGACTAACCTGACTGGAAGTTGTCATTCGAAGAATATCTGTAATGATGCATACATTGATGGTAATAAAAGTGGCCGAAATCGCCTTATAGCATGCAGTGACAGAAAAGCTTGCCCCAACTGACCCCTTATATCATCCACGTGAATCCGAAATGGAATCTTGCCGCATTTTATTTGGGTCCAAAAAGAATCGTGGAGTAAATCAATATCGCATTAATATTATGGTGAATAATGAAGACATATCCTTTGTAAACGAATGCAAAAACCTTGATATCTGGTTTGACTGCAAGCTACGCTTCACTAAACATGTTAACAAACTATGCAATGCATCCTATAATGTGCTTCGTCAGTTATACCCGAGTCGAAGTGTCCTGTCAACACAGCTCAAGCTTAAACTCTGCGAATACCTTATCCTGCCAAAATTATCGTACGGTGACTATGTTTACGGACCTGCTCTCTTAGAACGTGATGCCGAGCGGGTTCAGATATGATACAAAACTCATGCATCAGATTTTCTTATGGAATCCGCAAATTTGACCAATCGGGATGGCTTAAGATGAACAAATTGAGGAAACTGCAGTGCCTACCTCTGGTACATAAGATCCTTCTCCTTAAAGCGCCATATTATCTTTATTCAATCAAATCTCCTCTGTCAGTACGATCTTACTTATCCCGCGACATTCGACAGCATTGTTCACACGTAGTTTCTCGTACCGGGCACCCAAACTATACAGGGTGTCCCGAAAAAAGAACAGTTTATGTAAACATAGGTCGACAAAGGTCGCCTAAGGGCGCTACGGTCTTTTAAAGGGGCTCCCCTGAAGATGGTTTTTCCTTAATATTTCCGAAACGTGTTGAGATAAAGACATAAAATTTGGTATTCTAGCCTAGTTTTTTATGCTGGATTTAAAAATATTTACAATTTTAGACAGTTTTGTTTGGAAGCGTATGTAACAGGGACGGACTCGTTATTTGAGCTCCAAAATTTTTGTGTGATACTATTTTCAAAATTCAATTTTAGAATTTGAAGGTTTAGGGTTTTCTACATAAAAAAGGTACTCTCATTGAATATCGATAAATTGTGCCATTTTTGAATAAAATCAAACTAAAAAATTTGTCACATGATAGGAAATGTACTGCGAATTTAAATGCATTGTTGAATAATTAGCCATGGCAACGAAAAAACTAATTTAATAATTGGTACATATTACATAAATACATATTTCCATTGCAACGTAGCTAACATTTAGGCAAAAACAAAAGAAATACATTTTTTCTACGAACGAAATTGAAATTTGTTTAAAAAAGGAGACATACAGTTGGATATACTTGAAACTAGCCTTACAATAAGTGTTCAAATAAATTCCCATTTTGTTGGAGTCTCGCTCAACAAACTAATGATTGCGTAGCCCGGAAAGTGGAAAACCTTTTTCGTCTTATTTCATTTGCAGCCTGATGGATTCTTTGAAGTAAATCTTCTTGAGTATTTACTTCAGTCGAGTAAACTAGGTCTTTTAATGACCCCCAAAAATAGAAATCCAATGAATATAGGTCAGGTGAACGTGGCGGCCACGCTATAAGACCTCCTCGGCCTAACCACCTGTCTGGAAAATTGACATTCAACCAATTTCGAACGTTGCGTCCAAAATGTGCAGGGACGCCATCATGTTGAAAAAACATATTTTCTTGAAACTGCTGGCGCACATTCAAGGGTATTATATCCATGAACTCATTCTGAAGAAACTTCAGATACTCCTCTGAATTAAGACGATTGGGAAGTACAATAGGCCCAATTACTTGATCCCCAATTACTCCTGCCCATAAGTTCAATGAAAATCTATGTTGGAAATTTGTACGGCGAACAACTTTTGGATTTTCATCTGGCCAGTGATGCATGTTATGGAAATTAAAAGCACCATTCCTAGTAAATATTTACTCATCCGACCATAATATTCTAGGGATAGTGTTTTCATTTGCTAATATCCACTGGCAAAACTCGATTCGTGGTAATAAATCTGCCTCCGTTAAATGCTGCACCCGTTTAAAATAATAAGGATGTAATCCTTGCATTCTTGTCATTCTTCCTATCTAAAATTATTATTTTTAGGATAACTATCAAATAGGTATTCATAAATTTTTTTTACTATTGATCGAGGTATATCCATATTTTCTGAAACATTTCGTATGCTTATTTGCGGATTATTTTCAAACATATTTAAAGCAATATTCATACGATGATTTCCCAGTGGCCTACCTGAGCCCTGCATGCGCTGAAAACTTCCATGGTTTGACAAATTCCGGTGAATATCAGTAAACATTCGACGTCCAGGTACTATGCGATTGGGAAATCTTCTTTGATATTCTCTTACGGCTGCCATTGAACTGCCATTGCAAAACCCGTACACAAAATGCAAGCAGTTAGTTCTCTGCCTGTAAATCTTGGCATTTTAAATCGATTTAATAAAAATTTTGATATTAATCTACGAGGCACGTCCAGAAAGTAAGTGTACTCAATTTATGTAGGGTTCAAAAAAAATTTATTAAAACCATAATATACTTGGTTACACTTGTACATATGTAAGTTATTTTTCGACATAGTCACCATCCCTCTCGATGCAAGTGGTGAGCCGCGGGATCAATTTTTTGATGCCGGCCTCGAAGAAGTCTCCCGCCAGCTCTTTCGCCCACTTCTCCACCTCCCCCTTCACCTCCTCGTCCGTTGAAAACTTGTTTCCACCCATGTGCCCCTTTAGGGAAGTGAAGAGATGGAAATCTGAAGGAGCCAGGTCATGGGAATACGGGGGGTGATTCAGAACGTCCCATCCAAAAGAGTCCAGGAGTTGCTTCGTGGCGTTGGCCGTGTGGGGTCTGGCATTGTCGTGCAACAGGCAGACTCCCTTCGTCAGCATGCCCCTCCTTTTATTCTGAATCGCCCTTTTCAATTTTTTTAGCGTCTCACCGGAGCTTTTCCCTTCACAACGAGGTAGCGAATGACGGCGCGAATTTCGCACTTGGCGGGAGATACGATCGACATTTTTCGCGAGAGATGTTACTGCGTCAAGAGTTTTCAACACACTAACCTCAGATTGGTCTCTTTTTGAAGGGGAGGGGTCAGGCTATGCGGCAGTGTTGCCAACATGTCGAAAAAGTATTCTCTACAGCTGTGAGAATACCAGTACACTTACTTTCTGGACGTGCCTCGTAGTAATTTTACACTGCTAACAATGTCAGCTTAACGTCAAAACAAGTGATAACAAATCAAAACAACTTTTGTTTGCAGTCATTGGCTAACTATGTATAATCAAAAATTCATTTAAATTCGCAGTACATTTCCTATCATGTGACAAATTTTTTAGTTTGATTTTATTCAAAAATCGAACAATTTATCGATATTCAATAGGAGTACCTTTTTATACCCTAAATTCTCAAATTCTAAAATTCAATTTCAAAAATAGAATCACACAAAAATTTTGGGGCTAAAATAACCTGAGTCCGTCCCTGTTACATACGCTTCCAAACATAACTGTCTAAAATTGTTAATATTTTTAACTCCAGCATAAAAAACTAGGCTAGAATACCAAATTTATGTCTTTATCTCAACACGTTTCGGAAATATTAAGGAAAAACCATCTTCAGGGGAGCCCCTTTAAAAGACGTTGGTCGACCTATGTTTATATAAACTTTTCTTCCTATTTTAAGCTCTAGAAACCGCTGGTAGAATATTGCATACTTTTTTCGGGACACCCTGTATAACTGCTTGTCAAGTGAGTATAAAGCAATTTTAGAAAAGGTTAAAGATGAGTTTAAAGCAATCGGATGGCTAGAATTTAACTTTACGCATATCTACGGGTAATTTCTGAGAAGTGTAAAATTTTAAGCTTTTCTCTTTTTGGTGGTCAATGTTGTGAACTGTGCCATTTAAATGTTTTTTTCTCTTTACAGTTTGTGTCAATGTTTTTTAGGTCGGGTTGAAAAACAGCATAAGCTGACACTCCACCTTTTCGTCACTATTCCTTTTGAGCCAATTATTTTGTAATCATGTGACGAATAAAGGCCATTTATTATTATTATTATAATATATTCGTGGTGATCCATCAGTCATCAAATCACGAAACCTCGGAACTTAATCAGAACCCAGGAGAGCTAAATAGTCTTTTGACATTTTTAGTGGAGTGCGTTTTTAAATCCTGTATACATATTGATGAGTCTATATGTTAATATTGTGCGCCTTATGATGTTCTGTTGGTTTTAATTTTTCTTAACGTTTTTTTTATATACGTATGCACCATAAATTTAACAAACGAGTCTTTGAGTAATTTTAAAACAAAAAGTTCATATAAACATAGCCCCGCAAATTCTTCCTTCTCAAGATACAGGGTGTTAAAATTAAAAAAAAATGCTTTTACGTAAATTTCTTAAATATATTTTACCTAATTTTGTTGTAATTTGGCGGTGGTATTAACATTAAGGAGCTAATTTAGCTCTGACCTATTCAAATTCATCAAGTCGGGATCTGGACGAATATTTGTGAAAAAAAAACGCCACTGACTATTATGCAACTTTTATTACGTTCTTTGGATAAAGCAAATAGAGATACAACTTTTTTGTCTTTTGCTTTCTTATCTTGCTTTCGAGAAAAAAAGTACACTTGATTGCATATCCCTGGACCACACAAGGAATATGGGGAAAGTTTGTTTTGGAAATTATTTTTTTGATAATTTCTGTATTACTAATTATGTCACAACAACAAATGAACATTAAATTAAGTTACATTACGTCAACTTCTAAACTAATGAATTTTACTGAACTAAGGAATAGTAAATAATGATCAAGAGAACTGGAGAACTATTGCAGAATTTAGTCAGTTGACAGTCGTTAACTTAGTATTTGAGGATAAAGGTGTCATGTAACAAAGTCATTGTATGGAGAAAATTGACTTTAAACATTTTTTAATGGGACTTTTTGCTTTGTTGAAATTTTAAATATCTGGTTTAATTAGTTTATTATCTTGTTTTGGCAACAAAGTAATCAGGTCATCGCAGAATGAAAGAATCACTCCGTAAGGTTTTTTTAATACTCCAGTTACCACGAAGGCCTAAGGCCTAAACGGACGCTACACGGACACGGACACATTCTGGCCCCGCCTACGAGATCTGCCGGGTGGTACCTCCACGTCAGAGACGGTCTACCACCTACGGACACCTCTGGACAAACAAAAAGACTCATAATGCATAAATTGTATTGGGTTTTCTCTAGTTTAATTTGTCGTATTAATTAAACTTTTTCCCCTTCATATCCTAACAACAATAAATTAACACTAAATGTATATAAGTGTCATGTGGTTTCACAAGGAAGAAATAATTAAATATAATAGATTTTAGATATAATATTGTACGTGATTAGATGTACTGGGGCTAGGGATTGTAAGTTATCTTTTTCTAAACATATTGAGAAAACCGTATCTGAAGCATTAACCGCATATGGGTTTTTGATAAGGAATTGTAAGGGTTTTGACAATATCAGCGCTAAAATAGTTTACTAACTTTACTTGCTCTTGCAACAAAGTAATCACAGAATGCACGAATCACTCCTTAAGGTTATTTTAATGTAAAAATGCAATTTTTAAAATAAATGTTACATGACACCTTTATCCACTTGTGTCTTCATTGATAAATTATTGATTTATAATTTTTATGAAAAGTGTTATTAGTGGTTATTTTTTGTACAATATGGTTAAATCTACCGATAGTGAGATGGCAGATATGCATTTCTGTTATGGAATGACTCATAGAAACTCTAATGCTGCAAAACGCATTTATCCTAAAATATTTCCTCAGCGTGTACTTCCGTATAGAAGAACCTTTGTACGTCTCGATGCATGACTTTCTGAAACAGGCAGCTTTGAAAGATCGACGGTTGTCATCAGGAGACCTACAAGGGTACGAACAGTTCAATTTGAAGAAGCTGAATATTACCCATGTCGCACTGTGGCAGATTTTAAGAGACCAACAACTGTATCGATATCATCTCCAACGTTTGCAAGCTCTATTGCTCCGAGGATTGACTTAAAAACTAGCTTTTTTTATTGTTTACGCAGTAAAATGGTGAGGAATCCAGGTTTTCTAAGTCGAATATTGCTTGGAGATGAAGCTTCCTTTTTTTTCAATTCAATTATTCACTTCCACAACAATCACATTTGGGCCGAAACCAATCCCCACGCCTTAATAGAAAATAATTTTCAAGAACAATTTTATTTCCATATCCGGGTTGGAATTATCGGTGACCATCTCATTGGGCGTCATTTTTTTCCACTTAGACTTAATGGGAAAGAATACCGACGGCTTGTAGAATTTGTTTTACCTGGACTTTTAGAAGAAGTTCCAGTCATGGAAATAATCAGTATGTGGTACATGCACGACGGAGCTCCACCACTCTTTTTGGATGAAAATTACTATAATCGCTGGATTGGGACAGCAGGCCCACAAAGATGGCCCCCTCGCACGCCCGATGTAGATCCCTTAGATTATATTATCTTTTAACACCTTAAAGCGTTGGTATACAAACAAAACTCCTATTGAAAGTGGAGAGGGTTTACTGAATAGAATCATTTATTCATGCGACATAACAAAAATATGCCAGGTATTTTCAGGAGAGTGCATAATTCAATGGCGGTTGTATTGAACAGGGGCCATTTCCAACACTTCTTTAGTGAAATTTGTTACTCTAGATGTTAATGCTATCTAGTAGTTGAGCAATTGTTCTATAATTATTAATAAAAGTATAAAAAAAATAATAATTTCCAAAATAAACTTTTCCTCAAATTCCTTGTGTGGTGCAGGGATATGCAATTAAGTGGACTTTTTTGTCTCGAAAACTAAGTAAGATACGAAAAAAAATTATAAGACAAAATAGTTGTATTTCTATTTGCTTAAGCCAAAGAACATAATAAAAATTGCACAAAAGTCAGTGGCGTACATTTTTTTGTCACAAAAATTCGTTCAGATCCCGCTAGAAACGCCACTGGACTTAATAAATTTAATCAAGTCAGGGCTAAAGCAAATTACACAAACCAAGGTAAAGGATATTTAAGATATTTACCATTTTTTTTAAATTTTAACACCCTGTATCTTGAGAACGAAGAATTTGCGGACCTGTGACTATATGATCTTTTTGTCTCATAATTACTCAAAGAATCGTTTGTTGGCACATACTTAATCAACACCCTGTATACGATTATTCAGTTTTATCATACACCAGCTGCTATTCTTAATTGAACTGACCAAAGAAGTTCATGTAAACTTATCTAGTTTACGTTTATTTTTCGAATGATGTTGTATAATGAATTGTATTTTGCAAAATGTTACTGCTACTAATACACTAACCTAAAATACCTTATGTAATATTGGAAATGTCTTTTTCTAACTATTTTATTTAATCTGTCGCCTTGTGCAATTCAATTGGTCTGCCTTTAGATTCAAAATCAGAATCATCCAAAGTTTTCTTAAGCAAACATTCAAAACGCAGGTGAAGATGAAAGAAATTAGGTGCAAAAATGGGGTCAAGTAGTCACGGAGAGTGAGATTTTGTTGCCTTCTTCGCCGTCACTAGACCGATTTCCAAAAACTGCAAAGCTTTTCCGTCAATGACGTACTAGTAACCTTGTGTGAAAATTCCTCGCCCATTGGCGTAGGAAGTAAAAAAATATATAAATTAAGTATTCGATGAATTAATACAATACACATTATACGGAAAATATAAAAACTTGTAATTTTGTTCAGGTGCAATATGAAGTTGTGAATACAATTTTTCTCAAAGATATAAATAGGGTTGATACTAGAAAATGGCATTTCATATATTTTCCTGTTATAATACAAGAAATAGAATATGTTCCTCATTATTTTGTTTACAGGGGGACAAAAAACGAGATTCAACAGTTCCAAACGAGATCGTATCGTGTACAAACTGTGGACCTAATCCTTGTACGCATACAACTAATAATGGCTGCGCAGCTGAGGTAAATATTTACAAGTATACTTCATTTTGACATTCCACAAAAATAGTCATTGGTCTCATGTATATCACGAAATATCATTGATAATGTGGACACAATATTGTATCACAATTTTGACAAATCAGTTATTTTTTGTCCAGTCGCATGTCTTGAAAGAAAAAGACCACAACGTGACACTTTTCTACTAAAATCAGGAATTATTGTAACTGACCGAAGAGGCGACACTATTACCTACGTCGGTTGCAGAAAACTATAGTTTACCGGCATCTCTGATTGACAGCCCGCTTCAATGACCCGCCAATCACATAGGCATCTTATCAGTCAGGGGGGTACTAAGTCTTATTCATGATACCAGCATGGGCGTGCTATGTAAACATTGCGTAAGCTATACACAGGCTTGATATGATGTTAGCTTTACGATATATATATATATATATGGTGACTTGTAATGTCACGTATTCCTGTTAAGGGGTGATGGATTAGATCAAAAGCAACCGATTTCGTCCTATAATGTCCTATCCAGAAGTCAACCGTTTTTGAGTTATTTGAATTTTATTTTTTTTATTTTTTATTCCGATTTCAGACGGTTGAATTTGAAATACAAGAAAACTACATGTTTGATTTTGAGTTTTTTGTTATCGTCGCATAGCGGACATTCCAATAGTTCATAATAAGTAATAAACTGTGAAAACTTACAAATGTTTTAAAATTACGCTTTTGAAATGTATGATTTTCTTATTTTTTTACTAACTTATTCGATAAAAATACAATTCTCTGTAAAAAATCTCATAGTAATAAAATGTGCAAATTATGTAAATAATATCTCTATCTAACAAGCTTTCATTTGAGGTATAAAAGTTACAACTAACTCAAGTACAAAGACATAAAATTAAAAAAAGATGAGTAAAGTTGTACGAACGATAATTACGTAGGATAAATAAAAGGCTTTTATTTTAATTACAGTTTTATTTAATTACATTTCCTTTAGTATTTCACAGATTCTGCTCAAATTGTAATCCCCTGTTACGAATACACGCCCGCATTCTCTTACGTAATTCACTTTTAGTAACTCTAGTTGTTAAGCGGCTTTTTATTTGGTCAGCTGTACTGATTATCCTTGTAATTAATTCATCGCGCCTGGTACGGGCGAAACATCGTACACCAGGCTTTTCATATGTCCCCACACATAGTAATCCATCGGTGTGACATCTGGGCTTCTTGCTGGCCAGGCAATGGGCCCGCCTCTGCCAATCCATTGATTTGGAAATTTAGAGTCTAAATACGCCCGTACTAATCTACTGTAGTGTGCGGGACAGCCGTCGTGCTGGAACCGCATATTTTGTCTCGTCGCCAATGGGACGTCTTCCATTAATGGAAACAAGTGATTTTTCAAGAACTCTTCATACACTTCTCCATTTAAATTGGCGGGCAAAAAATGAGGTCCAATTAAATATCCATCAATGATGCCCATCCACACATTGACTGAAAACCGGCTCTGAGACCCCGTCGGTCTTATTTTCGGGGGTTCAAAGCTTCTTTATCAGCCCAGTAATGAGCATTATGGTAGTTAGTGATCCCGTCCTTATCAAACTTCGATTCATCGGTCCACAGAATTTTCTTAAAATAGTCTGAATCTTCTATATCTGCATGTAACATGTACCTGCAGAAATCTAATCGTCTTGCAGGATCGCCCTCTCCAATCACATGCACAGGCGTGTAGTGATAAGGGTATAATCTTGCAGTATGCACAGTAAACCATACTTTGTATTGTGATTTACCAAACTGAGCTGCCACAATGCGCGTAGACGTAGTAGAGTCTTCCTGAAACACACGAAGGCTTTCCTCTTCATCTTCAGGAGGATGGACTCGGGGTCGACCAGTATCAGTATGTTGCCTTTGAAAACGTCCGGTTTGGCGGATGCGCCGATACATAGAGTCAAACACAGTAACATGAGGTGTTCGGCAATTCGGGAAACGTTGCCGATATTCACGGCGGGCAGCTGCAGAATCGCCGTTACAAAGTCCATAACAGAACATTATGTCTGCGTATTCTTCATTTGTAAAAGTTTGCCCGTGCTCGCTATGGCGAGGTCCTGGCGGATCTTCTGCGTCTGCCATGATGATAAAGAAACCACTCGAAATAAACTGGGAAACTCGAAAATAACATTCGTGCGTAAAACTTGTGCGCGTACGCATTAGTTGATACCAACTAAACCTAATTCTCACTCGGCGTAACTACAATGATGAATAATAACAGCTCTCTCTCTCTCACTCCTCCACTAAGTCTGCTCTTCTCGCCCGCTTCCTCGTCGAGCCGATGCCATAAAACAATCATGGCATGCGAGTCCTTTGAGGACAGTATCGATTTGTTCAAACAGGTAATACAAATTCCTTAAAAATCTAGCCTCTGTGGGTGTCATTGTTGTTTCTCTGCATGTACTTCAGATAATTGAATGCTTAATACCTCAAATGAAGCTTGTTAGATAAAGATATTATTTACATAATTTGCACATTTCATTACTAGGAGATTTTTTACAGAAAATTGCATTTTTTATCGAATAAGTTAGTAAAAAAAATGATACATTTAAAAAGCGTAATTTTAAAACGTTTGTAGCTTTTCAACATTTTATTTCTTATTATGAACTATTGGAATGTCTGCTATGCGACGATAACAAAAAACTCAAAATCAAGCATGCAGTTTTTTCGTATTTCAATTTTAACTGTCTGAAGTCGGAATAAAAAATAAAAAACTTAAAATTCAAATAACTCAAAAACGGTTAACTTTTGGATAAGACATGATAAGACAAAATCGGTTGCTTTTGACCTAATCTATCACCCCTTGACAGGAATACGTGACATTACAAGTCACCCTGTATATATCTCCAATGATTAGACCTGAAGCGTACTGATTATTACTAAAAAACATGAAACAACGGCGTACACAATTGGTCATAGTCACAGAGACGAAAAGTAAACAGATCCTGTGGATCCTCTACTAAGTCTGTCTTACAACTAAGGAAAAGTCACTTAAGTGCCATGTAGCTCCTATCTTTGCTTTATGTCCATTTTCCTTATGAAAATATGCTGAATGTCATTTATAGGATGTTATTCAATTATAGTCTCCAAATTTAAAAGCTCTGGTCTTGAAGATGCAGGGTGTCAAAGCTTGAAAAAAATGCTTCCTTATTAATATCTCAAAGATTCTTGTGTCGATTTTGTTGAATTTTGGCAGCGTTGTTTATTGCAATAAGACGCTAAGTTAATGTTAACTAGAACATAATTATGAATCCCAATGGCACCTCGAGGGACAGTCTATATTCTATACCACTGCCCTTTCAAGAATAAGTTAGATTTTTTCAAATCAATCAGATAAGCATACAATTTTTTGTTTCTAGGAATCTCTTCGTATCTTTTCAAACAAAAATTATAGATCAATTCATTCTATACCAAAGAAATCTTAAAATAAAATCAATTTAATACAATGATGATCAATAAATATTTATAAGCAATTTTTTAAATCTAAAGATCGGAAATAAAACAAAATATTTACAAAATTTTTTGCATCAGGAATTTGGCAAAGTCCTATAGCACACGTATGTCTTCACACGTTCTATTAGATATCCACGATGGAATTACAGGATACTCACTGGGTGGACAGATACATCCAGTGGATATCCACATGTCTGCATATACCCAAGAATCTGTAAATTACAATACTGATAGTTCGTCATAGAAACATCTAATGGCTGCTCCGGCTATATCCACATGATCATACTAAGAAGCATATAGAAAATATAACAAAACTAATCAACCATGTATTCATAATAAAATTTGTATATCATAAACATCATGATTCTTCTTTTTCTTGTTCCATTGGTTTCGTCATACAAGAAATCCCTCGCCGTAAGGGTTTCTAATAAAATTAAGTTCCCAAAGTATCAATTAGAACATTTTGGGTAGCAGCTTTCATTTCTCCATGACAATTGAAATATATTTTTTTTGTTTTTTTGATTATTCATTGTATGTCATTTTTTCTTGATTTCACCCCCCGTTCAGGCTTCCAACCCCTGTATCTAATATTTATCTAACCTGCATTAGGCATGCGTGTTGCAGGTGCGCAAGAAAGAGCCCCCGCATCCCATTCGAGTAGCGAAGACCATTGACGTGATAGCGCGGATCACATTTCCAACTGCATACGCTGTGTTCTTGGTTTTCTTCTTCTACCACTACAAGAGCTTCACGAACGGCTCACATGATAAAGACGATGACGAAGGGAATGATTAGGGATGATGTTTGGCTGGCAGAAGAGCAGGGACCATTACAATTATTCTGACAGGTGAAAGACTCAAAAGTTTTGAAAATGCTTATCGCTATTTTTATTCTTTATAAGTTAAAAGAAAAGGGAAAACTGATCCTCCCTCTTCGGATATAGAGGCCCCTAAAAGACGCTACTGAAGTCCGGTGTAAAATTCTGATATCGTTGTAATCAGTTAGGGCCTTCAAGGAAAATAAAATTAACTGATTTAGATTACCAAGCACACCGAATGTGATACTGCTAATTTTTTTTAAATTCTGTATAATGATGGCTCAAAAATAATACTTTTGGGAAGCCTAATCCTTTGGCTAAATAAATATATTCTTGTTTGATTTCGATAAAAAGTAACCTCCTTACATTTACATTGTAGCCGATCTTCGAAAATCTTGATTAAGTGATCTGAAACTTTATAACCTGCGTTTCTTCAGAAAAGTGTTGCCTCACAATCCACTTATTTAAGCTTATATGATCATTCTTAATGTAAATGTGCTTACCGATAAAGTACAGCTAATAAATAAAAAGGTAGCCAAAAGTCGAAACGTGAACTAAAATATTCGTAATTTGAGCACAGCCTTGAACTCGAGTCGATCGATATTCTCATTTCTGAGAATCATTGGTACGAGTATACATTCGGACAAAATGCTATTAATGGAAGATTTTAATCGGTTTTTCTTTGTCTTTAGGTTGCGAATGACTGTAATGAAATTTGAATAATTTATGACACTGATACTGGAAGAAAATTAAATTTGGTTTGAGTATCGAACATAGTGTTATATCGTGAAATACAAAGTAATAATCTTTAATTGCAGTTTAACAATGGAGAGCAGATAAGTGGAACTTAATTGAACACTGCTCAATGAAATAGTGAATATTAGAAGATAAAAAAGATGAAACAGCTTCAGGAATATACAGTGAAGTGCGCGCCTTTATTGTGGGCAACATTTGAATCTAGTTTTATGAAAATGTCAAGCACTACACCCACACACCAAAACACAAAAGTACATATCACATAGTTGTAGCTCGGTAGTTTTTCAACGATATTATAGATTTATATGAGAGGTTGATTGGTAGAGAAATGCAATCGCTCGAATAAAAAGAATTTATTTGTGGAAAAATTGCGCCAAGGAAGTACATGTTGCCGTGATAAGGATTTCAAGATGTTCAATAAAAACGTTACATGTACATTCTTTATGCTTTAGTTAACATATATTAAAATATGTCTGTAGCAAGGGTTACTAGAAAACCCTATGTCATTTTCATCAAATGGAGCAGATCCTTTCGAAATCAGTCAATTGGATGTTAAATATGAGCAAAAAAAGATGTTTACTTACACTGTTCCAACATTTTCTCCTTTGGCGGCATCCAAAACACCGTTTTATTCAAGAAAACTAATCTTGAAGCTTCTTAATTGTCAAAACTGTCCAAGAGTAAAGTAAGTAAGTAAGTAAGAACATCCAGCTAAAATGCAAGACTATAGGCTCATTGCCATTAACTGGAAAACTGTCCCAAATGCATGTGACATTATTCAACACAAAGCAGCTTTAGGATTGTTGCTCGTGAGTTTTTAATAAAAATATTTGGAGATCGTTGAATATATCGAGAACGACATGAATTGTGACTCGCAATATCTCAGGTCTTGAACGCTATGGGTTATTTCATATAAGCCATCTAGGGTTATTAGTTTACACAGTTCCAACAAAAAATCGGATATTTCAGGATGTAATCCAATAAGAAACGATCTGTGCAGATTTTAAACTATTAGAGGATTGAAACAAAGTAGTTTTTTTGAATCGTCAATGACTAAAACAGTCCTGGAGTATTTTCTCAATTCAATTGTATCGACATCAATGTTGGGCGTTTGGATTTTTATCTCTACCAAATCAACGCCTGTCATGAAAGTGCTGCGAAAACTTCGTTAAGTCATTTTACACTAGATCTATTTAGATATTGATATTAAGTATTTAGGATTATAGATAATTATTTCAACTGTGGCACCTGTTGCTATTTTATTATTATATAGATAAAATTATTAATAGTCTCGTTAATAGTGAAAAAACGGTTCGCCAAACGTGGTAGCTATGAGAGCAATGTACATATTTTTAATATAAATTAGGTAATTCGTAAATACAAATGCAAGAAGCTTTAGAGTATGTAATATAAACGAATGTCTGATATTACAATCACAAATGTATTTAATTTATTCCTGTATGATGTATTTTAATTTATCGACATTTTTTCATTTGCAGATATATCTTATGTAAGGAAGTTCGTCAATTTTGTACAAGCTACCTCACAAATTTGTATATGTGTAGATATGAGTCTCGTTTCTCTTTAATAGCAAACATACGATACTCGTATAAATATTGTTTGTTACTGTTAGTTTATTAATGTGAGGTATCTTGTAAAATGTTTCCTGTATGCCAGCTTAACAGTAATTGTTCTCCTTAGATCTATTTAATATATATATTTATTCCAATCAACTCCAAACTTGACAAACATAGTTCAGGTGAACTTAATTGGAACCAAACAAAATTAAACAAATGTTCCTATGAAATCACAGATACTGATCTCATCCAAATCCGACTGTAACTCGAGTTCAACCCTATTTTGTCTTGTTTTGGGATTATGAAAAAGTCACTAACGGTGGTTTGCATCGCTATGGGTTAAAGGCGTAGGTTACTTAACTCGAAGGTACGGGTAACTCTAGGTTTGCACTAACTGCGTTTTGTGTTATGTTATTCTCTTCTATGATCGGTTGTAAGTTGTATTATATTTGGAATTATGTTTGGAATATCAGTTTTTTAAAATATTGTTCACTGTGTTTATCAACAAGGCTCATCGTAAACCCTATTTCACGAATATCCATTACGATTTGACGCCTACTGAGGTGAACAGCTGATCAGCAAGTGACATTTGAGTGTTAATCAGCAACGTTGGCAATAATGAATCGAGTGTGAATAAAGTAAAAACGTATAGCGTTTTGTTTTTTTTGTATGACAATGTACTTTTCTAAATCAGCTGTTAGCAAGTATGAAATGAATCTGTAGCATATAAAAAATCAAAACAAAATTCGGCTATGAGTACCTGGCGTTAACGGATCCGTTAGAATTATGTGTCCTGTGCTGATATGGGGAATTTTGAAATATTACTAGATAATCAGCTGTCATTCTACCATGGTGGATACTCGTGAAATAGGGTATACGTCACACAGAATTGGCTACAAAGGTCTAGAAAACACCCTGGTAATTTGGTAGCCTATTTTTAAATATTGGACCTGATCATGAACGAAGAACGATTAGGATGACCTGATTCTTCTGGAATTGTTGAAGTTTGGTATATCCAAACGAATTGACGAACGAGAAGAGTATTCCCAGACAATGGATAGATCCACGGGTACCGAAAAAATACAGATATTGCCATATTCGGTGGAGGCACCACTCTTCTCCTCTCTCATTGTTTTCAGTGTTCATTCAAGTTCTAAAATATATTACATTATTCATTCAAAAGCCATACAAAATCAAACCTTTTAGCACTCGCGCATACTGGCCAAACATGCGCACCAGAAGACAAAGCATCCAGTAGTCAACTCGTTAAGATTCTAAAATCAACGTTGGTCTTTCAAAAATCCACCTAAAATCTTAATTAAACCCATTAATTCGATACAGAACTCATCTAATCGCTAAGACAAGTGTAGTGACCTAAGGACAAGCTGCGAACAGAGAGGAACACCAAGGTAGATGCCAATCCTAAAGTGTCCTTGTGTGGCTCGGGTGTCGATTTCTGGATTACTTTTAATTATATCTGAACCAGAACGCGCGAACAGTCTCGCGGCTTTCCACAATTCAAAACTCTTCTTTGCAGGAACACTCAGTAATGCTTTTATATTTCTGAATAATACTCAGCAAACGCTTGGTGAAGATTGTAGTAGGAGATCTCTTCATGATAGTAAAAATTTCAACAACACAAAAAACACTCAAAGCGTTGAATGTTATAGCATTTTATTTTTTTCAGATTGTTTAATTTCTTTAGATAACGTGAATCGCAAATGAAAACAAAACAACACAAATGACAGTTACAAGAAAATTATAAAAAACAACCAAAGGAAACCTAGCGTTCTATCAACAAATGTCTTATTCACTGAGCTTAACACCCAATTGAGCCTTATCTCAGAGGTGATAATGATGGTGCAAAGACTAACTCGGAGTTACCTCTAACCGTCATTTTAACCCAAACCGGAGCAAACTACCGTATGTATATACTTAGTAGCAACAATATGATTATGAATTGTTATTCTTGAAAACCTTGACCGAAAATAAAGCGTATAAGTAAAGTATTTCAGAAAGGAAAATTTAGTCATGTCAATTAATCAACCTATGTATGTGGCATTTTTTTACTTCCAATGCATAAGAAATAACGGCTTCTTGAGTCTGGTGATCACTGGTACTCAATTAACTTGTTACATTTAAGCAACTTTTCGAGAAAAAATCATAGTCCAAAGCAAAAGAAGCCGGATTCAGCTTCTGAAACCTAAGTAATTTCGCTATTTAACTTTTCTTACAAATACCGAAAAAAAATATTTCTAATGGCAAATTGAATATCTTAATCAACAGAAGCCCAATTGTAACAGACTACGGGAAATGCTGCCCAAAATTTCACGCAAACACTTCATCAACTGACACCAATTATTTCGCGAAAGTTTTGTTTGATTCGCTATTTTTGCATAACTAAAAAGCATGTTTTCGTTTTATTTATGCTATGATTTGTTATTCAAGTTAGTGGCACTGATCTGAAATACCTATACAAACAGGGTGTTCGGTACTTAAATGGACATACAGGTAGTATTATATAAAAAGTTCTATATTCAATTTTTACGAATATTTCAGGGTGATTTATCTAAGTACGCCAAATCTTTAATATCACATAATATCTCAGGCACCGTTGAACTGATTTTGTTAGAATTTTTCACGAGAAGAAAATTACTTAGGAGTATCGTAAAATTTGCCGAACATTTAAAAAGCCAAGGGTCGGACTTTTTTCGCTGTTTTGTTTTTTGTCAAAATCAACACCTTTTCAGCTGAATATCAAAATGTTGGGCTATGTACCAGCAAAGCCAATAAATTATGCTAGTTATTGAGCAAAATATATTGATTGCGCCTAGTTTGTTTTTTTGTTTAAGTTTTTCTTTCCAAATATCTTATGTTTAGCAAGTAACGTGACACAAATCCCAAAATGTCAAGAGTTATCAACTTGCTTTGATTAACATATTACAAAATATTGCTTAAAATTGAAACAAAAATATTTAGAAACTCAAAATTCTAGGATGGACTTTATTTTTTTCCCTTGTATTTTAGTAAGTTCAATGCCCTTTACGTTGTCATTATTTCACAAGAAACGCGACAGATATTATATGACTAAAAGGTATACTAAATGTTATGTGCTTATTTAGTATGTTTCGCAATTTTTGAATTATTTAATTCTACTAACTGATGTTATATAACAACATATGTCCTGCTTTAGAAGGAAACGACAGTACGCAAATGCACTGAATTTGACTCTCCAGAATTCAAGATTATGATGAGAAGGCATAAAAATCTAAATATCTAGTCCTGGACTCAGCTTTTTCAGCATATTTACGTGTACGTTTCCTTACCAGAACCCTACGCTGGATTTAGTTACATAATGTACATCACAGAACTGAATGTCAATCGGGATCTGCATACTACATGCTTGTGGATTTTTAACTTAATCTTGGTCTGGGATGTAAAATTTAGGGAATTTGCATATTATTAAATGCCGTTTTCCTTTTAAGCAGAACACAGTTAGTTGTACAATATGAATTAGTGCAATTGATTCTTACAAAAAAATCCAAAAAGCTAAGAAGGATAATAAAATTAGGTTTCGCTTTTATTTATCTCGTGTATTACTTTGTTCACGAAATAATAAATACAGATTATAACGTACAAGGCGTTGCATTTAATAAAATACAACGAAATAAACTACTAATTCCAACCCTGGAATATTGAATCCCCAAGACACCTTTGGTGCAAGTTTAAGTTTTATTTTGTAAAATTTTAATGAAATCAAGTTATTGACAATTGAAACTGTTAAATATAAGATATTTGAATAAATACAAATGTTTAACTAAAAAACTAGAAGAGGCGCAATCAACCTATTCAACCTGAATAGCAACACTCATTGCCTTTTTCGTACATTGTCAAATAATTCAATAATCTGATTAAAGGTGTTGATTTTGATAAAAAAACTAAATAGTGAAAAAAACGAATCCGGCCATGGATTTTTCAACCGTCCGTCTAGTTTAATGTTACTACTCGGTGACTTTGTTATTGTACAAAATTCCATTTAAATCATCCGTGAAAACTGAATTTATGACTTTTTATTATCACAAGAGGAAAGGTGTCGGTCAATACTCCCTAAGATTTTACTTTACAGGAACACCCGGTATAAGTAGATGACGACGTGCAATATTACGAAAAATGGAGAATGAGTCTGCTTAATTGACTATTCTTGGTGTTGGTCAATTTTAATATACTCCCATCATATTTCAAAAACAGAGTACAGACCTTCAGGAAAGAAGCGAATATTATGTTACATATTGCAGAGCATTAATTGAAAGATGCGTAAAGCGATATATCCTGTATTACTGAATGAAATGTTGTATATTGTGAAATCACCAGATAAAATTAAGTCAGTATAGAAATTGGGTACTTTCCAGAAAACGTATTTTGTCTAACTATTATTGGATGAATAAGCTTGTAATTCTTGTCATTGATTAGTTCTTTTTTAAGTTTCGAGTAACTTATATGTCATCGTGTTCGAATTCTCACAGCTTTAAGAGCATTCTCTTATATTATAAAAGGATCATAATCAACAGTTTATTATATAGGTATAAGCTTTAATCGTGCTAAGATTTGGATGTATAAATTTTGGAGGATGAGTCGGTATTACTATTTCGCCCTAGTGAATCGAATCCACTGCAAAATCCCATACAGTGCCTCTAAGAAGAAATGGAGTTGAAATACATTAGGAATATAAAGCCACCTTGTTAAGATCAAAAAGTGCATTATTTTGAAATCTCCCATGAAGCTAGGGAAAAATAAGAGACCCTTCTGTTGATTGTTGTTTTCGTTTGTCCCTAATACGTTACTAACTCCAATTTCCTAAATCACGTATCATAATTTATGACCTATTAATTATTTACGTAATAGGGACAGCCTAAGTTGCAAGACCCTTGAGTATAGTGTATATATACATTATTATTTTTATACTATTTTCTGTTAAGAATGGTGTCATAATAAATACCGACTCAATCATAACATTGTATAAATCATATTTTGTTATACTTAATATGCCTCAGCACTTGCCGACCAAAAATTTGAAAAATGTGCCATTAAAATGTATACTTAAACGTATACGTATGCCTTCACTTACTGCTTTATACAATATGATCTAACCAAAATGCTAATATTATAGTCTATGAGCTCATGTAATTGGGAATGGCGGCTGAAGTCAATATTATACGGGTAACTAAGAAAAGTGGCCTTAGTAAGCTTCGCATTTCAGAATATTTCTGGAGATGAAAAAAAAAGGCTCAATAACGCTTCTATTTTTTCTGACTTTATTTGAGGTGGAATTTCAAAATAAATTCCACATTAAAAATGCCACTTTTTCTCCTCTACAAAGTGGTATCATTGAAACTTCAATATGACGTTATCTTGTCCTCAACCATCAACTTTATTTGGTCTTATGTGCGCCATATTGTTTTTTGCATACATTGGTTGAGTTTTGTACTCTGACACAATATGTCATACACTAATATGATCTAATTTTAATTATTGAAAAAACATAATTTCCTAAATAGACTTTGAAATTATTAATAGTCATTTGTTTCCTGATATCATCAGTCAAACGTTTCTTCATTTTTTGTGAACTGGGCATAAGTAAGCATTTTATATTTCCGATTTAAATGAAACGATATTGTACATATCATGACATTATAAAGCTTCAAATGCATAAAAAAGTAATATTTCGTTAGTTTGTCTTAACTTCTGGAATAAAGAACATAATAATGAATTTCCATGTTTCGTAAGGGTACTAATAAAACATGCAAAACTGTATAGTTTTAAAAACCTAATAGAAACAAAAAGCTTAGACGATGTAATAGGTTGCTAAACAAACACATTTTATATCCGTCATATCTAAGTCGATGAGAACATTTTGCATACGGCTGGGATATCATGACGATAAATAGACAAATTGTCTGAATGTCCGTTTTAAACATGCTTCTCAGAAACTGAAGCAATATAGCTGGGGATGTAATCGAGCAAACCCGTGATATGCTGCAATTTTCAAGGCCAACTGTGGAGATATTAGTTTTTTTGAAAAACTAAAGTTTGGCATTGTCAATGTTTGACACATAAATTTTTACATTACTACAAAACTCTTTTCAGCTGTGCATTATTCCAATAAGGCGTCCATAAGAAGAAATTAAGTTGATGGTTGAGACAAAACGTCCACAAAAAGTGGAAATGTTAATGTGCAATTTATTTTGAAATCCAACCTAAAATAAAATCGGGAAAAAATAGAAAATTAGTTTCTCCGGTCAACCATCATTTGCGAAACTTTACAAGTGTCATTTTCTTAGTTACCCAATTGCACATCATTTCCTCCGTATCGCCGGCTTCGTATCTCTTACCGTTTCCGAAATGCCATTGGTGAGAGTCGAATTTGAAACACGCTGCATATAGGGCAATAACTACATACCTGTAGAGTTGCAGTTGATCTACAGACAATATGCATTTCATAAGAGCTACCACAGTTATTCAGTCCGCCGTAATTCTCTATGAGGAGGGTTGTAATAACATGAGTTTCACTATGCAACTGAAAATTTGTTGAAAAGTTCAAAGAAAACTTGAATGAATTATAAATAACATGGAAACGTTAGCGAAAATTATTATGAATATTAATTCTTCACCTCCGGAAAGTCTATACTGATTTTTTCACTTTCTTCCAAGACCTAGAGGTGGCAAAGCTTACCCTCCAATGTTCAAACGTAGAATTTCGTGCGATCACTTGTGACTGTAAATTATAGCCTGACGCAACGAATTCGAATAGAATAAAAGGATCCAAGCCTATGTGTTTACATTATATTGTTTGTCGCCAAAATGGCGTAATTTTAATGCATTCTTTTGACTCATTTGTCTATGAATGCCTACCAAAGTGAGAGCGTTGTATCAACATAACATTAATACTTACCGGTGGAAACGTCTACCTTCATTAGGTTTGCGCTGTTCTTTGCAAATTAAGTAAGAAGAAGCACGTCCACAAATATTTGCAAACACTCGCACTTTTAAAAAATAGCCTCATAAGTACGAATTTAATGACAGAACTGTCATAAAATTGGCCAACGTCAAGTGTACTTTGGTCCTCACTATAGGCTATGAGAATACGGAGTCAAACAAATCCTTGACTGGTTAGGAGAGGCTAGGCCTCCGACAGATATGAGGAAAGTAACATTTATTCTCTCACGTTTACAGTTTGACATAAAATGTATGGTTATGTGCTATCGATATGCAGAATTAAAATCCATTCCATTAACTGAGCAGGAAATATAGAGGATTTACGTGAGTTCTCTTCCACTGTACAATTACGTTTTTTTTTTCAATAAAATAAAAAGAACGGGGATAAAATGCGAATCTATGTCAACAATTCAAAATGCAATTTTGTTCATGATTACTTATGGTGCGTGCTTTCAAATAAAATTGTATAAAACTCATGAAAAACGTCAGCCTTCATGCCCAACGAAAACATTTGTAATGTGAGCCTTTTTGAGGTATGTTTACTTGTTAGTCTTCAATGTCACAGCTCGCTCGTAGGCTATAATAATTAGATATAAATATTACCGTACCCATGTTCTGTGATTGTTGTTTTGTAATGCTGTACCTGAATTTATTGTTTAAAATTAATATTAATGTAAAATTTATTATTGTTATTATTTTTAAATCTCATATAGTTTATTTGTATATGTTAAAAGAAATATACCAGTTATTATATGAAACCCGTGCGCCTTTCAGCTTTTCTAAATCATCAATGATGTATATTTTCTATAAGGTTCGTTCAGAATGTTTCCATTTTCGTTTCAAAAAATACCATTCAATAGAAATAACATACCTAGCATATGAATCATCCTGAGCTTTTAAGCCCGTTATTATGTTTATGCACTTATTATAGGGTTGTTGAAGTTTACAATGAATGAAATATTTTGTAGCATAAGTATCCAACGTTACAAAAATGAATTCTTGGATGGTAAAAGCACATGTAGCTGTACATTAAATAAATTTTGTGTATAAGCAGATTTTCATAGTATGTAGTTTTCACATTCCAAACTCTGTACTGCTGATTACTACCAATAATCAGTGGCGGCTCGTGAGGTAGTGCCACGGTGCCATGGCACTACCTTGTCTTCTTCAAAAAGAATATTTTTTTCAATCTTCAATGTTTTACTTTATTTTCTGCTTTTTCATTTTTTTTGGTATAAATTATATGAAGTGACAACACTGACAACGTGACAACACCGCAAGCACCCGACCGACGCGACGAGACGAGCATGCCTTGACCTTGACGTCATCAACTTGTGCCAATTTAGGGCCGGTCCAAATAAAAAGAGAGAAATTTTACCAGCATCGCATACGAGCGACAGAGATAACGCTACGCATGACATGTTTATATGAGGTGAATAGCGAAAGACAAGTATAATTTGTGCCAGGCACATCATCAGTCGTAATTCGTTATCAAATGATATCGGCGGTGTTTTTGTTCGGTCGGTCGTTTGGTTATGATTACGTCTAGTGCTGATTTCGGTCTTTTTTTACCTGAAAAGTGAGAAATAACGTTTTTGTTTTTGTACGTCTAGTGTTAATGAACTGCTATGTTTTGTGATCATATTTTTTACTGTTTTATTAAAACTAGTGAAAATGAATAAAATCGGGATATTAAAAAACTCACTTAGTGGTTTTTCGCTGGATCAAAAACTGCAAATTAAAGAATTAGGACGGCCAATACCCGATTTAAAAATTGAGAAACAAAGTGGTAGCGGACAAAAATCGCGCTGTCGCAAATTTAATAAAAATGTGTATGATAAAAACAGCTGTATATGTGGTTGTGAAGAAACGAATAAACTATTTTGTTTTGTATGTGTTCTATTTGGAGGTGACGAGACTTGGTCAAAAAAAGGTACAGACGATCTTATACATATATGGGATAAAATGAAGACCCACGAAAAATCTAAAGTCCATATGAATAATGTTTTTAGCTTTTCTATTCTTGGTAAATTAAATATAAGGACTCAACTCAATTCGGCTTATCGCAATGATCTAATTAAACATAATAATCAAGTGGATAAGAATCGATATGTATTGAATAAAATTATTAATTGTATAAGGTTTTGTGGAGCATTTGAGTTAGCCTTAAGGGGTCATGATGAAAAGGAAAATTCGGAAAACAGAGGCATATTTAAGGAGCTGGTGAATTTTAGCGCCGAATTAGACAACGAATTGAAAGTCCATATTCAAAGTGCCAAACTTTTTGAGGGTAGCTCAAAAACAACTCAAAACGAGCTTCTTGAGTGCATGCTAGATGTTTATCATGAAGAAGTTAAGAAGGAGATTGCAAATTCTCCTTTTGTTGCAGTAATTGCCGATGAAACGACGGACGTAGCCTGTGAATTTCAGTTAGTTATTATTTTCAGATATTTGTGTAAAGGACAACCAGTTGAGAGATTTTGGAGATTTTACGTCCCCGACGGACACGATGCCAAATCAATCGCTGCATGCGTTTTAAATGTTGTAAATCCATTACTAGATCAAAATCCAAACAAATTAATAGCTCAAAGCCATGATGGTGCGTCTGTTATGAGTGGTGAATTGAATGGCGTTCAAAAAATTATTAAGGAAACTTATCCACTTGCAAATTATGTTCATTGCTATGCACACCAGTTAAATCTAATTATGACAAGCGCATGCTCTGTCAATAAGCAGGCTAGAATATTTTTCCATAATTTATCTGGATTGTGCTCTTTTTTTTCGACGTCTCCTCAAAGAACAAAAATTTTGGATGAAATAGTTAATCGCAGATTGCCAAGATCTTCCCAAACACGTTGGAATTTTCAGTCACGAGGTGTTCATACAGTTTATGAAAATAGGAAAGACCTGATTAAAGTTATGGACAATATAGAAAGTACTTCACGCGATTCTTCGTCGATTAATCAAGCCAGTGGGTACAAATTAAAGCTGCAAGATACAAATTTTGTATTTTGGCTAAGTATTTTCCATAAAATAATGCCACATGTTGAAATTGTCTTTAACCAATTACAAAAAGTACGCACCGATTCTGTTAAGGTCAAAAATGATTTAGAGAATTTTGAAGCAGCAATTCAAACTATACGAGAACAAATGGATAGCATTATTGACCAGATTGAACGAGTGCAGAGAGAAACTGATGAACCGGCAAGAAAAAAAAGGCAAGTTGAAGAAGGCAGCAAAAAACGGGAAGCGTTAGAAATATGCGATGCAGTATTATCGCAAATAAGAACAAGATTTAACTTTTCTGGACATTTAGTTGCTTCTAATTTATTTGTGTCTGAAAAGTTTTCTGTTTATAAACATCAGTTTCCTGAAGCACATTTAAATGACACATGCACACAATTTTCATTTTTAGACAAAAACAGGCTTAAAACTGAGTTACAAGTATTATATCAGAGAGAAGAATTGAGTACTACTTCTGGAGCTGTTCCACTATCCATTTTATTGAACGAGGAAGGATTAAATTGTACGTTTCAAGAAACTCTTAAGCTCTTAAGTATTTTAATCACTATACCGATGTCAACATCTGAAGCAGAACGCTCTTTTTCAATGCTGAAACGGATTAAAACTTTCCTCAGAAACACAATGAAGGAAGAAAGGCTTAGTGCTTTAGGAATGCTGTCTGCAGAAAAACATTTTGTTAGTGGCATTGAATATTTTAATAATAAGGTAATCGAAAACTTTGCTACCAAAAAAGAAAGAAGAATGGACCTCATATATAGAAAACTATAGTTATAGGTACTTCTCCACACTTGTTTTATAATTTGGTGCGCGTGTGTAAATAGTTTTATTTTTGATTTTTTTTTGGACATATAGATTTATTGAACCTCAAGAACTTTGACCACTAACTATCAGGGGTAAGTTATAAGTTATTCTTTACAATTTTGAATCGATTCAAAATTATGGCTTCCATTCTGGCACTACCTCACGGAATTGGCACGAGCCGCCACTGCCAATAATCATAATGATATTCTAATTGAGGGTGTTTCAAATCTTACATGTAATTTTGTATATAATAATAATAATAAAAACTATATTTCTGACCAAAGTAATCACACAATATGCTCTTCTAAGATCTTGTGAAATCATACTAGTATCACCATGTAGTGTACAAACAGTTTTCCCTACAATTACAAATTTAGCAATAAAATGGAATATTCATGTTGATATTTTATTGCTTCTGTCTAAGAAAAAGGCACTGGGAGAACTGTGTATAGCTTCATTCTTTGGCTGATAATAAAGAACTTCAATATCAAAAAAATCTTGCATTCTGAAACACTCCTGACACTTATCAAGCAATAACATTAATTTTCACATGTATGCACTGTAAGAACATAGATATCCTCTGAACAATCTGTACATTACATAGCAGAATGTATATTATTAGTATCTGAGCCTTAGAAGTGAATGTCTCATGATGACGTGTATGCTTTACGTATTACTTATTAGTGCGTTGTTCTTTGATTATTTTCTGTAAAGCTACAAATTATTGAAATTTTCTTGTTGGTAAAACATCTCTATAATCTCATTCACGTGGTACAATCTAAGAGAAGCAGTAAAACAGAGAATATAAAACCTGTTACACTTCTCTTCATTTGAAAACCAGACTAGCAGATTGCATGTGTTCAAAAATATTACGAGCATGAAAGAATGGTTTATGTTGAAAATGCACCAGTTTACCTAAGCCATGGAAAAAGATATTCTTGTCGTTCCACTGATAAGAATAACGAAAAGCAAGAATATTATTTCAAAAATACCATTAGATAGTGACATGCAGAAGTATTTTAAATGCCTGAATTTGAAGTCTGATACAAAGCATTACATAACAAAGACAAGCACGGCACGTATCGACTAGCAACCAAGCCCCCTAGGTAAGAATTCTGCGAAGTTTACCTAAGCCATGGAAAAAGATATTCTTGTCATTCCACTGATAAGAATAACGAAAAGCAAGAATATTATTTCAAAAATACCATTAGATAGTGACATGCAGAAGTATTTTAAATGCCTGAATTTGAAGTCTGATACAAAGCATTACATAACAAAGACAAGCACGGCGTGTATCGACTAGCAACCAAGCCCCTAGGTAAGAATTCTGCGAAATCGTTTATTTAAAAAAGTCTTCTTCACTCTTGAGGAAGCCTCTCCGAAAAGTGAAATATGTTTCAAAAACTACTAATAGTTTTGTAGATTTGTAGCTACACCAGAAGCCCGATTCTTACTGAATTTCGACTATTGAAATTAGATGACGCCTTGATATCATTCATTTGATCCGATATGATAATTTTGACACCGCAATTATAATTTCCATTTAGAAAATCCCTAGAATTAAAATAGTGGATTATGTATGTCACGGTCGAAATTCAGTTAACATCAGGCCCCCAGATGCTTTTCAAAGTATATGCTTTGTATTTTGTCGGAGTGGTATTATCATTATTGTTAGATAGAAGCTTTTATTGACCTTTTTGTGAAACATGTAAATAGTAATACCTTTACATCGAATTTGTGATCCCAACGCCATTTTACATTACATATATACTATAAAGTATTGTTTTTTTAAACTATTCAAGCATAATATATAATATAATACAATCTAATGGTTTGTTTACTTCCCTTCTTCCCTACATGCATAAGCACTGACATTAGTGGTGGGCAAAAAGTATCTATCCGATACTTTCCGAAGTCATAAGTATCCGATTCTTTTTGATAAATGTATCGAATACTGTAATAAATAGTGACAATCTGACTATTTATACATACTGTAGTGTAGACAGAGAGTGACAGAAAAATAATGTACGGTTATGGCCAAATAATTTTCAACAGCTGTGGATGTCCAAGTATCTGTCGTAATCGTCAAATACTCCGATTTTTTTAGTAAATTCTTTACTTTCTGAACAACTTCATCATATGTTTGGGGCAACAAACTGTTGCTTAAAGTTTTTCTTGAAGGAAGTTTATAAGCAGGATCAAACTCTTCTAACAATTCTCTGAACCCTTCATCTTCTACAATTGTAAATGGCTGCATGTCTTTTATAATCATGTTTAAAACTTTTATATGCAGGTTCTTAGTACGCGGAATAGACATTGGCCGCGATATTTTAGATTATTTTGATGAGGGAAAAGGCATTCGTCATTTGTCCTGATCAATTTTTTTTGTGGCGTCATAAGCCGAATTTCCTGGGATGACTTCCAAAGGTGTAGAAGAAGTTGATGGTCCGGGTATTTCCTCCAAATCCGCAGATGTTCTTAAATGCTTCGCCTTCAAATGTTTCCTCAAATTGCAGGTTGCACCACCTTTATAGGATAAGACATTTTCGCAAATGTCACACTTTGCTTTATTTGAATCAATTGCATTGAAATACAACCAGACACCACTTCTTCTTTTATCACTCATATTTTATTGTATTTTTAAAAAGAGAATATATTATATAATTCACTAAGCACTTCTAAACTTATGTAAATATGTAAGCTATACTATTGGATATGGCATAACCCAGCAGTTCTTCTCAACGCAACGTCGAGGCCGACACGTGGGATTCCCAGAACTCGTTAAGATAAGGATGTTGATGTCTACCGTCACGTTTATGTAGATGTCGATATCGATATTCGATATAGATTCGGTCTTAGGTATTGGGAACCGAAAGGATAAAAAACTAAGGCAGTCTTGGTAATTTGAATATGATTTTTGGGTTGTTGCACGTTCCGGTTGTCAATTGAATATAGGCGAACTTTTGGGAATTAAAGTGTTTCATTTTGATTTCTAACACTTAACTTAAGCAAAAGGCTGAAATTAATTTCTGGTTACAAAAACCCAGAATTTATATTTTATGTTTAACCAATATTGTAACAATAACAAATTTAGCAATGTAATTTAAAATTCAGGGTATCGCTCATCACTACTCATCAGTCATTTCTAATTTCTAGTATATACTCGATGATACCTACTTATAGGAGACCGAGACCGCATAATAACTGTACAGTAAACAAACAGTAAGCAATAGATTCGAAAGTCGGGGCCTGGATCAGCGACATAAAGACACGAACAGGATTATTATTATTATAATTTATTATTAGTATTTCACACTAGCAGTATTAAATTAACGGATACTAACGGCAATTAATCGAGCCGATACTTGGTATAGGTATTGCATACACAGTATGGGATACTTACAGATAAAGTATCAGTATCTATTCGATACTTGCAAAAGTATTGATTACCCACCACTAACTGACATAATGAAGCAGCAGCGTGGCTAGATGGATCAGACAGAATTCATTCAGAACTAGCACAAAAATCCCCCAGAAATTTAACTTTAATTATGAAAAGGGTAGGTTTGGTTCGAAGAGCGGAGGAGAAGGTGCTCTCTATTCTCTCTCTCTCTCTCTCTCTCTCTCTGCGGAACGTGTGATTTATATTTATACCTCTTCTGAAAACATAAGTTATTCTTAAACGTCGCAGGAGACTTACCATGATTTATCAAAAACGAATTATTAGTTGGTCAATCAAATTTTTCCTAATATAAATATTCTATGAATGCCGCATTGAAGTAGTTTAATTTTTTTGTGCTGCAATTGCGCATGAACGCAAAATGGTGAGCGCATTCGCCATCCGGTCCGGGGATTGTACGAGTAGAATCTACAAAACGAGTAAATCGGTGCAACATCACGGAGAACACGCTCTTTTTCCCGAAACTCGAGGGTGGCAAGAATAAGCTAGATCAATGGGCTGATTCACATCATCTCACTATTGTCCATTTTCTGTTCTATGGCTGTAGTACAGGTTTTGTGGAGATATATGCGACCATGAGGAAAGAAAAGGCTAAAGAAAGATACAATTGTTAATCAGAGGTGGACAGTTTTGAGGTGGTGATGATGATGGTGATGGTTACAAATGGAATAAAGTACTCCAGAAATACCTAAAGCGTTTATTTTTCCCCCAAAAATCCAGCAGGGCATTATTTTCTCCAAGGAAAGTAAGACGCCCTCAAATTTGGGGGAAAATCCCCCAATATGGCAGCCTTATGAAGGAGTTCATCTCGTCGCGCATCTCGTTGAGCATCATGCCAGGCATTACGCCGTGCAGCATCCATACTCGCCTGCAAAAAAAGTGGGTTACATCTTTCTTGACCGCCGCGTCGAAATTGCATTAAAGCGTCTAATAGCGATCGTGTTTGTTATGTTTTCTTTAGAAATCATTGCTTACAGAAGTTTTTTAAGCTACTACAAATTCCAGTACGAGTGAGTAGCTCATGACCGTGAATTAAATGCTAAAATCCTAACACCGAAACCCCGCAAATGTGTCGCTTATATTATCAGTTACTTGAGGGAAAATGTTGAAAGAAACTGAAAAGTATGTGGATGCATGGTTCATTCGTATTATGCTGGTCCCACACGATGATTCCAACGTTGTTTACAACGTTCGACACCCCACAATTGGCAAGTGTGTCTCCTATACGGTGGGATGAACTTTTTAGTCTCGGACGTTCGACGCATGGTGGTGCCAACGTCTATTATCGGTGTCAGTGTCGCGCTTGAACCTTTACAACTGCAGGAAAAATTATACAAAATAAACGAGGAAACAATTTTTTCGAGCGCCGAAAAATAATTTCAGGTCTGTCCTCAGCCACCAAAACTTAAGTCTGTCACAAGCCTCAAAAATGTCGAAAAACGAAGTTTACCGTTTTTCGACGATAGCTCCAACGCCACTCTACCGATTTTCAAAAACTGCAGAGCTTTTCCGTCATTTTCGTAGTAGTAACCTAGGGTCAAAATTTCATCAAAATCCTGACAGTACTTTCAGAGTTATTATTTATTTAATCTTTTTCGTTAGTCATGAAATGGAAGTCAATATATTTCTCAACTAGTCTTGCATTGCAACAGGACATTATAATGAAACAACTGTAAGCACTTGATAATCTATAATTTACTAAAATACATATCCTTAGGTCAGCCATAGCTCTCACCTGCGAAACGTACAAAATATTAGCAATATGAAAAAAGTGTTGTTATGGCAGCCTATGCCTTGTATGTATAGTAATTTAATCCATTCTCCTCAAAAGTTACGGAACATACATTATTATTAATAGGTAGGTACTCAAATCAAAATACTTCCCACATACCACTACTTCACCACAATCACAACAAATAATGTTTGTCGCCGCTACTGGTTTTAACCTAAAACCGTCAAACACATGACATCTCGTGTGGGAACGTAACGAACCATGTTTCCAACTTTGTAAGGTCCTTTGACGCGGGTCAAATTTACCGACAAGAGCCCGAACGTGCCATGTGGCGAACGTTGGACACATGCAATTCGTCAGCGCTCTCCCACACGATGTGGGAGCGGTTCTGGGCAACCAGGACCAGAACCAGGACTGACAGATTCGACTAACGTACATCAGACAGTGACTAATGGGCAAAGGTCCTACGGACCGCCCAGACAAATAAATGACGAATAGTGGGAGCGGTTTTACCCCTCGATTCTTTTGCTCTTGAGCAATCCTGTCATCTTCAGCTTGCACCAAGAAGAACGACGCTACGTCTGTGCTAGTCTAACAAAAAAGAAGCACGCGACGTCTGTGACCGGCCTAATGCAAGTAATTTGACGTTTCGTGCAAATGTCCCTTGTTTATCTTTTCAGGTTAGAAATTATGGTAAAAATCGTCAAAAGAGCAAAATGTTTCCTAAAAGCAAATGAATTGGATTCTTTTAAGTTTCTTTCTTGTCAATTGACGGACACAAGCAAGGAATGTAAGACTGGTACTATACATGCCATATAATTAGGAAAGAATTGATTATAGTGGGAGCCCAGAGACAAGAAAACCAAACAATGTGCATTACTGTACTAAGAAAAATCTGCCATTGGGGCCCTCTCACTGCCATAGGTATACATATAATTCCTAATAAAAGACGGCTTCTTACAAGCCCAACAAGACAATTTGGCCTCCAGCCGGCATTTGGCCCCTGCAACAGTTTGAAGGGAAAGAAAACTCTTAACATCATGTTTATTGTGGCAGTGCCTTCCTTTGTATTCTTACTTTCAATTCTAGGCTTACTACATTATTTAGAAGTCATGCACGTCTCACAAAAAGAAAATAAATTGATTGCTTCCGACATTTATGTTTTATAAAATAATGCAGTATGTACAATTCTACAAGCCAAAATATGAAAAACTCATCAATAAAGTTTAGTGTGTACAGCTGCAGTAGAGTTTGAAGCCTCACTCTGCAGCTTCTGGCTAAAGTCTGTGCTATGAGGATCATATACAAAATCAATACCTGATGCACTCACGTATTTTGTATATGCCTATTCGTTTACATTGTTGACTACCTGTAGACACTCCTCCTACCATTAAAAGCCTGTTTTTGTTTTCTTTTTATAATCTAATTTTCAAAACCCAATAGGACCCTTGAGGCTCATTTGCTATATAATTTATAATCATTTAGCATTATAGTATTATAGTTTTTTTATGATTCCAGGGATCATTAAATTAGTTACTGCAATGACTATTCATTGTATGAATATGTTGTGGCCAAAAGAAACATTAGGTGGTAAACTAAATTATGGAATTTTCATTATATTATCAGGGTTAACTCTCTTCAATTTTTTGTCATCAATGTACCATGGAGCTGGATATTTGCCACTTAATTGGAGACCTGTAAGTAACTAATTGAGAACTGATGAAATTATATTACATTAATATTCAAATTATAGTTTGTTAACTGCTTTGTAACTGTCATATACTTGCATACATATTTAATATTCCCCATTACTTTTGCTTACAGTGTAAAGAAGAAGACTGCCAATTTTTGCAAATGTGTGGGGTTTGTGATGGGTATAAGGCCCCTAGATCACATCACTGTAGAAAATGTAAGTATTAAGATTTAAAAAATTGATTCCAACAATAGCTTCTACATCAAAAGATTGTTCATTGTTTCAATTTGTTCCTTTCTTCCTGCCTTTCCTCTTCCTAATACTTGAATTATTTTGCCTATGATTATTTCCAATCATTTTATGAATAAAACTGAAAACACAATTGTAAAAATGGATTTTCTCAATTTTTTTATTGCTGACAAATTTAAGCAGAAATTTTATGTGTTACTGGAGCAACAGTCTCAACCCATAATTTATTTGAGTAATTCCACTTTATAATAACAGTATTTTTGCAAGGATAAGTCTTAATAAACAACATTTGGAGATATTTTTGCAAATCCAGGCACACAACATCCTTCATCATGTTATCATCTTTTGAGCAAAAACATAGAGAATGATTTTTCACTTGTTGCAATAACATTTAATGCCCTTTAAGTTCGATATGTTTACTTATTGATAAAATTTATAATAAAAAATGGTATAAATCAAGTTTCCCATGAGAGCATGTAAAGCGTTTCTCACTGAAATTAAATGGAGACTCGCAATGTAGTATTATCCAAATTTAGAGACTTGATTTATGTGATAAATTTACCTGATGCCTGTCCAGTCTGTCGGCATCATGTCTGAACCACAATTCTGAGAGACGTAAACATTTGTGCACTTACTAATTGAAGCCTGAGGAAAGTTATAGACATGCTTGAATGCTTAAGCCCATTTGAAGGTCAAGACAGGTTTCTTAAGTGGTAACCCCTATTTGGACACTGGAAATGTAACAGTGACTAAATGCTTGTACTGACACTCTTGCGAAAGCAGGAACAACAAGCAAGCGAGTTTGTCCTCATTCAGCTTCAGCGGTTACCGCGCGAAGAGTCAGGAGCTAAATAGAGAAGTGGATTGCAAGACAACACTCTCAGAAATGAAGAAGCATCCCCATCAGGCAAGGGAGCTTATCAGGGCCCAGTGCTAAGGATGCCCACTTTTGCTTATCTTTGGAAAGAGCCAAGGTTAGGTTGCTGGTGGGATTGTGGCGCCTGCCATACAGGTTGGCAGGCGCCACCTGCAAGTGATGGGTGTGGCTAAGAATGACAGGTGTGAGCTCTGCTGTGTAAAAGAAGAGACCTTGGCGCATGCTCTTTGTTGCTGTGAGGCTCTGAGCTACTACAGGCAGAATATACTGGGATCACTTTGGATCCCCAGAACGTTAAGGAGCCGGGACTCAATGCTATACTCAACTTTTCTAGAAGGGCGGGGCTTGAGGTTAAGGGAATGTAGGGGTGCATGAGGGCCCGTTTAAGTGGCCTATGCGCCGACTCCTTTATTCAAATTGCAAGTACTACCTTATTATAGCTATCATCATATATTGTGTTGTTTGTAAATGTTGAATTTGTGCGACAAATAGGTGGTAGATGCGTACTGAAGATGGACCATCATTGCCCATGGATTAACAACTGCGTAGGCTGGGGCAACCATGCCCATTTCACGTGCTTTCTATTGTCCGCCACCCTCGGATGTGCTCAGGCGGCAGTCATCCTCTGTATTTCCTTGTACCACTCCATATACTACAGAACAGCCCCTCAGTTGATCGGTCAACCAAGAGTCCACTTGGGGCTCTATGGTACCATCCTGTGTGTATTTGCACTTGGTTTTTCTATCGGGGTCGTTATTGCCGTCGGTATGCTGTTGTGGCTTCAGGTAAGATTGAAGTCATTGCAAAGAACTAGTAAATGTGGATTTTTTGGATTGTTTGCAACTTACCTATATGAACCTCAAAAACAAATGGATTTCAATAAAATGCTGTGAAACTATAGTATTTAGAAAGTAAAATAATAGATGACTTCAAATTTTGAAAATAATGATTATGTTAGAAAAAAGTATGGTAATATTACAGTATTGGATTATATGTTATATTTACACACCTCTCTAGAAATATTTTGCGCCCTGTGTGATTTCTGTAAGAGTACTACAGTATGATTAAAACAATGACATGGTTTTTCGAAAAATACTTTTTTTTAACATACTGTACACTATTTTGAAACTTTAAAAGCAAGCTTATGTTTGACTCATCAAAGACTACATATTACAGAATTTCATTGAGATTCTTTTGTCTTTGAAATACCTAAGAGTAATTTGAAAACGATCTATATTTAACAGTTTTTGCAAGAACTTTTTTATCAATTTATTGCTTGAGACCAGATTGCTCTTACTAGATTTGTGTCAGAACTATACAACAATAGTCTCAAAAATATAATATATAATATAAAATCTTATTTTTCTATATAGTCACTTCCGTCCTTTAATTTGGCGTAATTTGCTTCGAGTAAAACTTTTGGTATTCTAAGATATTGAAGGGATAAGTAAATAAAAATCTAGCTTGTGATATCTGCTACTAGAAATGAGAGTTTCCTAAAAAAAATCTGTTGCCTGCACTTTCAACCAAACCCCACATTGACCAAATAAAGAAAATTGCCTAAAAACAAAAACGTAGTTTCGGATTTCAAAAGGTGGAATGTTACACGGATATAATCAAAGTTCTAATCTACAATTAAAATAACATCCCTGCTACATGTAGAATTGAGTCCCTTCAGTCATGGATTAATGTATTCTGTGTAATGCTAATCAATACTTCAACTGGAAAACGACATTTAATAAATTATTGCATTTAAGGTTCGAGCGATAATCCGTAATCGCACTGGAATTGAGGATTGGATACTGGCAAAAGCAAACTTCCGTAGATCAGAAGCTACTGCAAATAGTAGTAGTAGTAGTGATGCAAATATGGGGGAACGTTTTGTTTTTCCATACGATCTAGGAATACGCAGAAATATCCAGCAAGTGATGAACTGGACCTGCCAACCTGTTGGAGACGGCATCCATTGGCCAGTGCAATATGGATGTGACCAATACACATTAACTGTAAGTCGTTTTTCCGTGCATGTATGAATGTTGGAGAGACAAACTGCCATGAAATTTACCGAGTGTTATCAACACATTTACAGAAGTCTCGTCTACTCGGCTTTTTTTACAAATGCTGTATAAATCACTTTTTTAGCCATATGGATAAATTCACTTACAGTTTGGCAGATGTGTAATAGAATTAAAAGCATAATATACTCTTCTCAGAACTCATAGTTTTTTTTATAATTTATAGAGAGAGCAGTTAGCACAAAAGAACGAAAAAAGGCTGAAAACACGTTTGTACACCATATTTAGACCAGTTTCGGGGTATTGGTTTCCGATATTCAGCCATGGGATTCGGGTTTGCTTGAATTTTCCGTGCACAGATGAACCAAGGATAAAACTGGCCATAGGAGATAAAGTTCAGGTTACCAGATGGAGAAAGTAAGTCTCAGTACATTTTTGTATTTGACTTGAATCAAAATCCTAAAGTTATGACCTATAATATTCATTTTAATTCACCACTAAAAATCATTATCCTTCATCAAATATAATAGAACTGTAAATGTTCGCTTTAGTAGCTGGGATGCTTGCAAAGTCCTTTACGAAAAGAAAAATGAATATTGCTTTTGTACGACCAAACAACCGTGTATGGCACCATTTCGTTAATATTTGGAGTCATCAGTGCGGTGGGGAGTTCGTCGTGATTCTCAGTAAGGATAAAACAGCGCCGTATACGGTTGGACAGTTCTTCAAAACTAGCAAACTGCCATAATAAGGAAAGACATCTGCGCATACACAGATGGCTCCAATATAAAATAGGTGTTTGAGCTGGTATTTTCATGCCGAGGCTAAGGATTGAGAAACCAGTCAGCTTAGGAATCTGGGAAAAGATTTTTCAGACATAACTACATATATGCCATAAAATGATATACCAGAATGACCACAATGAAAACTGAGACATAGAAGTACGAACATTCTTCCAGATAGTCGATCGAAATTAAGGAGGATTTGTAAAGAAGCTTTTGTTAATATAGGGAATGGAAATGTGGTGCGTCTCATATGGATACCAGGACATACAGCGCCTCCATAATCACATGCAATACATATAAATAAATAATATCTGCAAAGATGGACAATAAGGCCATTAACACTGATAGGGGTTTCCAGGGCTGACGAATGCTAAGGCAACTAACTATACAAACTTTAACAAAGAAGGTAACAGACACTGCTGCAACCAAATAGGAATAGGTCATGGAGCCTATGGACCAGGAGAAACTACGGCAATGTTCATGCTTTAAAAAGGATCCCGAAACTTGACGCCTGGAGTACCGCTGGTGCTTTGACAGGGTTGCCATATTGGGGGATTTTCCCCTAAATTTGGGAGATTTTTACTTGAGGAATTCTTGGGATATAAATTTTATTTGGTAAATCACGTTTCATGGATTGAAAGCATTCCCCCGCTCTTTGACTCAAACCCACCACTATCTATTGATTAACAGTAATTTGGGGGATTTTTTTTAATGTAGCAATTCTGAGGGATTTTTCTGCTTGTTCTGTGGAAATTCTGTTTGACCCAACTGGCACCGGTGGGCTTTGACAGATCGGCTAGATGAGCACTTTTCTAATAGTCTAAGATGCGACCGATTGAATCTACAGATGTTTTTTTGTTAAGACTTATTTGTACGAGTATTAAAACCTGTAGTGTTGGCAATAATCAACCGCTTCGATCTCTACGCCTTCAGCCTGGTGCCAAGTTTTAATGTTGTTCTTTGTTGATTTCGCCTCATAGCTTTAGTGGGACTGTACACTGGTCACTCCAGATCCAGTGTCACCACATAATCAGGTTGGGCATAACATAAGGCGCTGATTGCAGACGAGGAAGCCCATGTAGTTAAGCACATTTCTATAGGTACCCTGCAACTGTCAAAGTTATGTACAATAAACTTGGAGGATCGTAATTGGCCCATCCACAAAAAAACAAGCTTATCTAACACAGTTGGTTGGACCGTTGAAAGCACTATTTATTTTTGGTCGAGTCTGTTATTCCATTGCTAAATTAAGTGTTAACACTGTTTTTTACAGACATTGGTTATTTGGAGAACTTGTACAGCAGCGTGATGAAATAAGTACGGAAGAAAGAAACAGATATGATACATCAGAAAGAGTAAGAGGATGGTTCCCCAGGAGATGTGCCGTTGAAACCAATCGTGTGAACTATAAAAATGGAGTCAGCTCTCAAAACAACAAGAAGATCGACTGACGTTTAGAGTCAGAGGGTAAAAACACGGTATCCTTATTATGGGCAAGACTCCTCGATGGGTTTTCCAGGAGGTGGAATATGCACCAGAATATGAAAAGGAATGTCAACGCACAAAGCAAGGAAAAGAAAGAAGAAAATGCTACATCGTTACTGCGGAAAACCAAGTAATGTCCTGTGATGGATGGGAATGAAAATAACGTGCCATGAGTACCATAAAATGTAAATAAATACAAGTAGTTCTTACTTCAGCACGTCTCAAGGAGTCGAAAAAAAAGCCTCTGCTAATAAAAGTGGGAAGGATCTCAAAGTGCTGAATATATGCAGCCACTTGTAAATGTAACTATGCCAAAAATACAACGTGCAAAAGAATCTTTAAACAATTTTTTAACGGGTTCTTTATTATCATTATATCAGACTTCATGGATAAGTATTTGCACACAATTAAATTTAATCATATGTATAATTGTATGGGAGATTCCTCGAACGAGAAAAATGCTTTAAAACTGAATGAATTGAATTATTGTACCGTGTGTTTAATATTTATTGCTTTATAATTTATGTAGCAAAATAAAAAACAAGAATTTATTTCGTCCTTTTTCCTAGTATATTGTTGAAACATTGATTGTCATTTTTTCTTTCTTGAAATCAAGGTAATATAAAAGCGAGGAGGTATGTTAATGGAATACTGCTCCTGCTATGATCCTGACTCAGAATTCAAATCCTTAGTCCCACTACGTTCCGTGATGTATCTGCGACACTGCGCTTCAATACCCCTTTAGGTATATCGTCTTGATATGGTACTGGCGCGAAATTCGAATCGTTTGGTGGTACTAGCTCTTGACGTCTCTGCGATCCAGGTATAAAATAAGCAGTTGTTGAAAATGCTCTGTCAATTAAGAGAGTATGTAAATAGTTCTCAGTGCCATCATACAGTGAAGATCAAATTTTTCTGATGCTACTAGTTGTCATCACACTATCGTCGTATCTTTAGAAGATGGTGAGTAAACTATCAGGATCACAGAAACTTATGGAATCAGGGAGATCATGCTTATGAGAAGCGAAAAGATCTAAAATAGACCAGAGCATTAAAGTTGATTTTTGGTGCTTGCCTAGCGTTTCTTTTTCAATTGATAACTTTTCGCGTAGAAGATATGTTAACAGTCCTGATTCTGAAGCTTGTCAGAGTAGTTCCTATGGAATATTCGCAACACGCTGCTACTTATTTTGTTATGTCTTTTATTGGTTTAACTTGACTATTCAAGATTACATGAACGCTAGGAGATTTTGATGCAATCCCAGATTATATTTTTATGCATTGTTAGTGTGCTGCGAAACTAAATTGAAATGGTTGGGGTCACGTTAGGATTTGATTGACAGGTTATTCCTTGGTTCACCTGAAGACAAAAACAATATAGATGAACTTTTAGTAATTGAAAATTGGTTGATCAGACTTTCTTCGTAAAATTGGAGGATGGAGATTTGCTCTCAGGATGACAGGTCACAGGAACGTGAAGAAGTACGCAACTGATATGTGCCCCTACAACTATACTGGTTCATTACCTCTTGTCGTCTGTGCGATTCCGATGCAGAATTTTTAGTTGTTGGCCAGACTTCGTGAAATTGGTGAATTGAGATTTGCTATCGGGATGGTACCCCCCCCCCCTGCTATGATATTGCTTCAATACCTCTTGTCGTATCTACGATCCTGATACATAATGTTTGTTGCTGAATATTGGTGGATAAAGATTTGCTATAAGGATAACAGAAGCGCGAGGAGGTATGTAAATTATAGTCTGCTATGCCTTCCTACGGTACTGGGTAAATCCTCTTGTCACTTCTGCATCTCACATCCTGCTACAAAATTTTTAGTTGTTGAAAATTGCGTGACTAGACTTTCTTCGTAAAACTGGTGGATGGAAATTTGCTATCAGGATCACAGAAACGTGAAGAAGTACGCAAATCGTATATGTCCATACAACTATACTGGTTCATTACCTCTTTTCGTTTCTGCGACTCCAATACAGAATTACTTGTCGGAAATCTATTTGTCGGTCAGACTTCGTGAAATTGGTAGATTGAGATTTACTATCAGGATTGCACCCTGCTACGATATTGCTTTAATACCTCTTGAAGAATTTGAGATCCTGATCCAGTTTTATTGGTGGATAAAGATTTGCTATCAGGATCACAGAACCGGAGGAGGTTTGTAAATGATAATCTGTTACCCCTGCTACGGTACTGAATAGTATATGTTCCTGTCACTAAACTGGTCATTACCTCTTGTCGCTTCTGCAATTCTGATGCAAAATTTTTAATGATTGAAAATTGGAGGACAAAGATTTGCTATCAGTGTCACATAAACGTGAGGAGGTACATAAATGATAATTTGCTACGGTACTGGGTGAATCCTGTTGTCACTTCTACGATCCTGATATACGTTTTTTGTTAAAATTCTCTGACCAGACTTTATTCGTTAAATTAGTGGATGAATATTTGCTATTAGGATGGAACCCCGCCCCCTGCTACAATATTGCTTCAATACCTCTTGTCTTATGTGCTATCCTAATAGACTTTTTATTGTTGAAAATATTACTAGATTCTTCTTAAAATTAGGCGATAGACATTTGCTATAAGGAAAACAGAAAGCGAGGAGGTATACAAATGGTACTTTACTCCTGCTACGCAAAATTTACATGTTCACCCACCAATCTCTGTACGACTATCGATTAACAGATGTCACTACTGCTTATCAACCAGTGCCATCTCTTAGCTAATAGACAAGGTGATCAATTGCTAGAGCAATATTAAAACCTTAGTAGATTGACTCTATTCGATTCTTGCTGGGAACGGCGACACACCCAAAAGATGGGATATGGGACTGTCGGTATGGCCAAATCTCATACAGGAGTATTAAGACCTGTTTCCTGTATATCGCATTTTGAATAAGAGATGTTCAAAAGACCATGGCGGGCGCATTTCTGATTTTCACTCCGACCAGACTTCATAAAATTGCTGTAGAAAGATTTGCTACAATAACTCTTGTATTTGTGATCCTGATACAGAATGTTTGTTACTGAAGATTTGTGGATAAAGATTTGCTATTAGGATCACAGAAACGTGGTATGTAAATGATAATCTACTACTCCTGCTACGGTACTGGGTAAATCCTCTTGTCTCTTCTGCGATCCTAATCCAAAATTTTTATTTTAAAATGTTCTGACCAAACTTTCTTCGTAAAATTCTAGGATGGATATTTGCTACCAGGATCACAGGAACGGAAGAATTAAATTTTTATAATATCTTCCTGTCACTAAACTGGTTCATTACTTCTTGAAGTCTCTGCGATTCTGATACAGAATTTTTAGTTGTTGGAAACCTGATTGTCGGCTACAAAAATTAGGCGATAGAGATTTGCTATCAGGAAAACAGAAAGTGTTATCATTATACAGGAGAGCGAGGAAGTTTGCTCTTTTTAGACCCCATTATCGAAATTTTAACAATGACTTCTGTATAAGATAGAGATTGGACGTTGATTTTACTATCAGATTATCGATCAATCACTTGCTGGAAAACATCCGACATGATTACTCCGGTTAGGAGTGATTGTCTATGAACTTGCAAATTTAAGTTCACCAAAATATCCTCAAGTTCAACTAACGCTTGCCTTATAAATTTGCGAAGTGAATTTCACCAGATTATATCTTCGTGAAAAATAAATAGCACCTCTTGTCATTCCAGCGAGCCTGCTGCCGAATATTCGATAAGTTGGAAGTATGATCGTGTTAAATTATGTTATAAAAAAACACAAATGTCACACATAAACGGATTTTTATTGAAAATTGATAGGTACATTTAATTAGATATCAAAATCATAAACTGGGAGTAATGTTGGAGAGATAAGACATGTGGATCCTCTTAAAAAATAACACAGTACCTAAATGCGATTTTGTCTCGATCTTTATTTAAAGTATATCGTATTGATTTTATTGCTAGCACTTTGTGCTAGTTTACCAAGATTAATGAGGATCCGCATAATGCAAAATATATATAAAATGTTACTATTATATTTAAAAGAAGTCATCTTGAGTCACACACAAAAACAACTATCTACCGATATAAATAAATAATATAAGTTGAATTTGGTATGAAAGGGTTCCTCTAACAGGAAAAATAAATTAAAGATCATACAAAAGTCAGCCCAATATCTCACCATAAATCTACCATCAGATCAACTCAATTAAATTAAAACTATCAGAGAACTAAGGTGAGTGCTATTGAAGGTTGAGAATCTGGTTTAATTTTCTGCAGGGTCAAGGAGTATTAATACGTATCTAAGGAATTAAAGATGAAGAAAACGACTATCTATGTATTTCAACTTCTATAGGAATGCCATAGTAATAACGGGTTATACTAAAAAAATGAGCAAGTTTACCTAAGCTGTCAGAGACAATGGATAAAAAAAATATCAGTCTAGATCACAGGAGGCAAACTATGATAAATGATTGTATGTAGTGAACAAAATGGTTGAAGCAGGGTGCTTCAAAATAAGATGGCAATCTTTCGCACACAAAATAATATCGCAAGTTCGTATAAAAGTTCTATGGTTCAGGCCCCTGAAGGACAATATCGAAAACCTTTTGTTTTTAAGAAACTGTATAATTTAGTGACAGCATGGCGTGCCTAACGCAAAATTACTTACTATGTTACACTTTATAGAATAATCGTCTGAAAATGATATAGTGAAACAACTTATCATTGGATCCAAAAACAGCAATTCACTTGAAAAAATTTGAACCATTATTATATAGTATGTGTAAAAAACATGCAATATTAGAGGCGTGTATCTCCGTAGAGGCCCATCAGGCATCTTTTGTGTTCTGCATGCATGCGAGAGGTTGACATCTTGTATATCCGCATCAAAGATATGGCAAGATATTGAGACTAAAAGTTAATACGCTACACATACACTACTTCAACTTGGTGATAAACTGAGACAGATCATACTCATTCTCATACTGTTTGGGGTCCCAAAGCTCCGGTAGGGACTCCAAGAAGGCTTTCATGCCAATATTCGATTTGGATCCAGAAGTTCCGTCTCTGAGATTATTTGGTGTGTGAGAAAACAAGTCCAGTACTTGTTCGGTACCCATAGTTTCCATTGAACTGTTTTCTCCGCTGATGACAGTGTTTGCCGTTTGGACTTTGAACTTCTGCAATCTGAAACGAAAAACAATTTTTTATGAAGTAGCCATTGCTAGTATGTGTTTTGATATGCAAGGATCATTAATTTTGTCTTAAATTAAAAATTGAATTGAATTGCGGCCAAAAATCAAAAAATAAATACACCTGAATCTTCGCTTTTCAATGTTTCAGAGTATCCTGATCATTTTCAGAAATTATTTTGGTAAGGTTGCAAATTGACAGTTTTGAGTTGTAGGGGGTGGTAGATTGTAAATGTTGTATGAAAATTGTATCTGAAGCCGTAATAAAGCTTCGAAATATATTACTAATTTTGCCAATTATTTTGTGGGTAGTAAATAAACGTAACACATAGCATATTTTGACACTACATAAATGTTATGTTACTAAAACAGTTGTTACAACAGTAATTCTTTTTCGCTTTTCATACCATATCACATGCCATTTATTGACCACATTAAATATATAAAATTTACATGTGAGATTTCACAAACTATTTTATTATCTATCCGAGTGACGTCATAGCATCAACGTACTCATTAACTGGATAGAAACAGTGGTTAAGCAATGTTATTTTTAGCAAACTTTGAGAAGCAGTAATTGTGAATATTTTCAAAATCATGTTCTTCATTTGCATTGACGTTGTGTATTTCTGCAGAGGTTAGAGATTTGTTTACAGTTCTGTTCGCATAACATAGGACTTCAAACATAAAAATTGTTGGGAGTGGTACTATTTGTAGGTTTTTTAAGTGATTCTTGCACGTTGATTCATAACTGGAATTTGTAATTATCCTTGAAGCCATTTATTTCTAGAATGAAAATCTTTTTAGACGCCACCAATATTACCCAGAGCAGTGTGCCATATGTATTGTGGCTATGGCTTATCGAGGCTTCTGCTAAGCTGCCTAAGAACAAATAATTGTGTAGACACTCTAGAATGTAAATGATCAAAGTGGGATGACCAATTCAGTCTTGTATCGAGTACTAGTCCTAGACGTTTTACTAGTTCAGATTCAACAACCCATTTGTTAGAGGAGAATGTGAATGTCTTGTTTTCATTTAGGGATAACTTTTTTACATTTTCCAGATCTCCACACGTGTTTTGGGCAAGTCTAGAAAACAAGGAGGTATCGTCTGAAAATAGGAAGCAGGGTCTGTTGTCAATACTCGAAGGCAGGTCATTGATATACATTATATACAGCAGGGGGAGCCAAGTACTGATCCCTGCGGTACCCCCGTTGCAAATAGGCAAAAGGTCATAGACGGTTCCCCTAGAGCTTACATACTGTTTCCTACTTGACAGATACGAACAAAATAGCTCTAGCTCGGTATTTCTTCTGCCATAGTATTGTAATCTCTTCAATAGTATATGTGAATTGATACAATCAAATGCTTTCGATAAGTCAAGCATTGTAGTATTAGAGTTATCTTCTATATTACCCAGTACTTCCCCTATCAAGGTGAGTATTAGTGCTTTTATTGTGGTTAATCATTTTCGAAATCCAAATTGTGTTACAGATAGGATAGATTTGCCATCGCAGTAGCTTATTAATTTCTCTTTCACAATGATCTCACATATTTTCCTAATAATATATATATATATATATATATATATATATATATATATATATATATATATATAATTGCAATTGGCCTGTAATTATCGGCGGAATCTCTGTCCCTCTTTATTATACATTTGTTATATAAGAGCAACAAAGGTTCCGCCATAATGTCAACAGACGATAATGGCTCTATTAAATCAATTACAATTCATCTACTATTTCAAGTAATATCTGACGAAGACTCACCCCATGATTTTCTCTTCCAAAGTCGCTCTGGTGATGAGTCTATAGACATTCACCACCTTCTTCTGTCCTATTCTATGCGCCCTGTCCATGGCCTGCAGATCTTTCATGGGATTCCAGTCGTGTTCGACGAATATTACAGTATCGGCTCCTGTCAAATTTAAACCTAAGCCGCCAACTTGCGTTGTAAGCAGCAGAACGTCTATGGAAGGATCGTCATTAAACCTGCGATGAAAATATGTTTTCAACTTGTTAACCTCGAAAAACAAAACTAATTGCTATGTAAAAGAGTTAAGCTGTTCAAAATTCATATAATCCGCACGGGTATTACATACATTGAAAAGGGAATTTTGTTGAGATTATATACTTTTTTGTGACGCAACGTATGATATCAACCTATCACTAGCTCCATTGTTTGGCTCTGATGTGATTTAACATCTCCTCCAGAGATAGCATTATTGTAGGTCTAAGCTAGTTGTATACTATAGCTGGGAGGGAACGACAGGGCATAGTGAGGATTAGTATGCTAATAATCTGAGTTGATGATAATTCAATTGGTTTCTTGACTGAAATACAATTATTTGAGAACTAGAAATTTATTGCGAATTCACTTTTTCTTATTCATTCTGGAAATTACATATGCAAATTTGCTGAATTTCAAACATGAGAGAGGTAAGAAAAGAAAATCTCTGGCTGGTGAAGTATATTACAAGTAACAGGTAAGAAAATATACAACAGAGAGAGATATTCATGAAGTAGCGTATATTTCTACAGTTGTCTTGCGTGCCCATATTGTCTTTACTCGGGTCAACCTCTCTCCAGACTGGACAACATATAAATAACAGCTAATAGATATACTTCATTGGCAGCATATTCGGTAATACTTTACTCACAGAGTAAATATCACTGATTCTATACACATGCAGACCAATTTTGCCGTTTTTTAACGTTTTTTAGGTTTTTTACATAAGACCCCTGACGGAATGGTATCTTGTTCCAAGTTATAGATGCTCAAGGAAAAAAATGCAATGTACCGAGATCTGTCATTTTACGATACAAAGTACTGCATATAAGCTTTTATTCAACAAAATATGTGTATGTTAGTATGTACCTATGTGTGGGACAAATCTTGTAACTCAATTCTAAACCATTTAAGCTTAACTAATTGAGCTGAAATTTTGTTACACATGTTTGGTTTGCGTGAAAAATACAAAACGAATTAACCGCCGTCATTTTGAATCCAAGTCAGACAGATGCTACCAAATCGCAATTCGTCATTTCCCTAGGATATGGGTATCAAATGAAAGAGCTAGATGAAGTGACGTCATTATCAATCCTAAAATGACGATTTACATATTCCATCATAGGTATCAAATGAAAGGACTTAGTGAGAGAAAAACAACAAGAAAAGTGACATCTTTTTTAAATTCAACATGGCGGCCGCTGTTAAAAATAGCGATTTAATTTTTCATTGCCAATCCATGATATGGGTATAAAATAAAAGGAGTTGATGAGAGGAACGCAATAAGCAAAGTGACGTCATTCTTAATCCAATATAGCGATCGCCCCAAGATGATGTTTATAATTATGATATAGGTATCAAATTTAAATTTGATCATATTAGTGGCGCTTTTGGGCAATCGGGATGGTTTAAGATGAACAAATTGAGGAAACTGCATTGCCTATCTCTGGTGCATAAGACCCTTCTCCTTAGGCGCCATATTATCTTTATACAAAGCTATCCCTCCTCTGTCAGTACGATCAAAGATCCTCTAGGAATAAACGCATCTTACTCATTCGCGGCATTCGACAGCATGGTTCACACGTAGTTTCTCGTACTGGGCACCCAAACTATATAATTACTTGTCAAGTGAGTACAAAGAATATAGCCTAAGCAACTTTAAAAAAAGGTTGAAGATGAGCTAAAAGCAATCGAGGGGCTAGAATTTCACTTTACGCATATCTACAGGTAATTGATTGTTTTTCTGAGAAGTGTAATATTTTGACCTTTTTTTTTCGTGATCAATGTGAACTGTGCCATTTAAATGTAGGTACTTGTTTTCTTTATAGTTTGTGTCAATGTTTTTAGGTCGGGTTGAAAAACAGCGTAAGCTGACACTCCACCTTTTCGTCACTATTTTGTTTTTCTTCCTATTAACCCTATTTATTTTGTAATGCTGTGACGAATAAAGGCCATTTATTATTATTATTAAATTAAGAGAAACATAGCAAGCAACGCGAGTCCAATATGGTAGCCACCGCAGAATGATGATTAAGAATTTCGATTGTCACTCCTATATGGGTATCAAATTAAAGGGGGCTTGATGAGGGCACATAATAAACAAAGTGACGTGATTTTAGATCCAATATGGCGGCCGCCAATGAATGGCGATTTACAATTTCCAATGCCACCGTTATAAATTGATTATCACATGAAAGGGCACGATAAGCAAATAACGTCATTCTAAATTCGATATGGAGGAAAAAATGCATTTTTAAAAACAAAATGGAACTAGACATTTAAAAATATTGTTTTAAACGATCATGGAGTTCCTTCATCTCAAGTTTTCAAATAAAAGCGGGTTACGTTGTATCAGGAAGATGGAAAATGGGTGTAACACGCTCTTATTTGAACACTTGGGATGAAGGAGCTTCATTATCGTTCTAATCGGTAAAACTGTTTTTTAATTTTTAGATTTATTTTATGAACAGCTAAATAAAAGATTGTTCTTAAAAACGTATTTATTCACTTTATTTATTAAACGTACAGCTGTGCTCTGTGTACAATAATGTTAAGTAGCAGGAAAAATTCAAATATACTCATGCAAATGGTTGAGATTATTTAGAATACAATAGGTGAAACGAAACGCTATTCACAATTTTGGTAGTTGATACATAATAATGTTTTCTAAGAAGCTATATGCTTATTATTAAAAAATAAAAGTGTACTTACCTTGTGACAACAGAGTGCCTCTGTCCAGGGGCTATAGATCCATCTAGCCTTAAATAGGTAACACTAGGCATATGCTTTTTGAGGAGATCATTTTCTATTATATCTAGCATGGCTTTCAATTGGCAGAAGATCAGCGCACGGTGCTGATTTACGACAATTTCTGTTGATTCTTTGTCACCACTCTCTGACACACCAATGCCACAGTCTTGAAGAAGTTGCCTGAAAGAAATGCATTAGTTCAAGCAGGCGAATCAAGTCTTAGATTTATCTGAGAATGGAAGCACCACATATTTGCGAAACCTTTGGATTACAAAGATTTTGACAATAATAATAATGGTCATCATTATCTTTATTTCCCAACAGTTTCTAAATTACATGACAATAAAACATAAGCATACAGTAAAACCAAATTGAATGAAAAAATCCAATTAATGGATGCGAAATATAAACAATAATTGAATTAGCGAACAGATTGAAAAAAATAATGTACGATTTTTGACATAATGTCACTAGTTGAACCTCTAGAAAACATATAAAGTGGTCATTTACAATAAACATACAATGAAAGTTGAATACTAAACATACAAGAATAGGACAACCCATTTATCCGATTTCTCTTCAAACGACTTTATTTTTGAGATACTGTGAAAATGTATATCACACACAGCAGACATTGAATTAAAATTATCACACATAGTTAATACTGGCGACTTTAGAAGCGAACTAGCTCTAGCTCTCTCATAATGGAATGTTTTGGTACTTCTAGTTCTCAAACAATGCACAAAGAAATTAATACTCGATTAAATTACACTGCCGTCTAAGTTATTATGTAAGAGCTTGTGCAAAATGGTTAAAGAATTATATTTTCATCTTAGACCCAGACTTTCTAACTGAAATCTAAAAGTATTAAATATGGTATGCGAGCAGTTTCAAAAAGCATCGATGCACTTTCTCAATAACCATTTTATGTTCGTAGTAATGAAACCAAATAATTGATACATATTCTAATTTTGAACGGAAAAAAATTAAAGACAGACCGACAGTTTCTCACTATGAATCCATAATCCTTTGATGCGCCATAAACCAGTACCCCGTTGCCTATAGTGTAGTCAAAGGCAAACATACTTTTCCTTCTGGTAAAACCTACGTAATACATTCAAACCAAGCTTGTTTACTTGACACCAAGTCTGAATATTATCCAATTCCATCTGTAAGGTATGTAAAATGAAATATCACTTACTTTAACGCAGGTAGCTTCGCGGAATGCGATATATCATCCAATCTTGAATTGTGTTTCTGTAACTGTGCAGTTATTTGCATATATTGTGGATGTGATGGGTTCAACACCAATTTCGGATGGTTGCAAACGTTTTGCAAGTATCGGAGAGCCTGAAATATATGGGTATTTCCTTGCAAAGATGTAGAAACTGCTCCAGTTGATATCGACTCCTGTAATCAAAAGAAAAAATAATGTCACTCACAAACAAACCTAAGGTTACCTTGTTTCATTTTCTAATCAAATTACCGGGAAAATAGCACCAAAATAAAATAATGGCGATGTTTCAGTTAATCTAAACCAATTTAGCTCGTAATTATATTTTTTCATTTTCAAAATATTTTATTGTTTAAAATGGAAAAAATATAATTAATGCTAAGTAGTGAAATGAATTTCGTTGATATTAAACATACCTGTAATGTTTGATGAGCCAGCGATTTTGAAAAATCTTCGTACAATTGCTCCTGCAACGGACTGAGTTCACAATAATAATCTTGAGTAATTTTTGGTGGCAGATCAGCTAACACGTCTTCTTTCATTCTTCTCAGTAGAAATGGTAGAACTTGTCGGTGAAGAGATTCCATAGCCAAAACTCCTGCCTCTTGATCCTTGGAAGAGCATTTAGGATCTCTGCTGGCTAAGATTGGTCTAGAGTATCTAAAAATATGGTTTAACAATGGCAATAACCTTAAACATCAACAGTCTAAGAAAAGCTATCTGAATTGAAATCTAATGAAAATCCTAGTGAGAATCGCTCAAAGAAGATTCTAAACCAATCAATCAATAGGCTTTATTCATAACAAGTCAGTTACAAAGAAAAAATAAATGAACGAATAAAGTGTACTACAGGTAAGTATAAAATAATACTTGTTTCGGCACAAAAAAGAAGCACATGATGTTTGCATATGTAAATGTATGTTTCCGTATAGTTGGAGAGAAATTATTATTATTGGTGAAACATTGCATAGTGAATTCCCATCAAAATTGAAGTGTTCCACCATTACTCATGTGCCAAAAGTTCAACAATCTGAGCGGTAGAGAAATATGCGATTAATTGATGTTTTGCAAAATGTCGAACAGCTGTTCGAATTTATTGAAGAAAACAATACTTTGACATAATTTCAAGCTGAATTTAGTAAAAAATATTCTACAGAAACAGCAATCCAAATGGTGATGAAAGACTAGAGAAGTATACAAGAGAAAGAATGTACTGTTTTAGATGTCATAAGGGAGACTATAAATAGGAAGAAATTGTTAATGAAATTACATTACTATGGTATTAAAGGATCTGTATTACACATTTTTTAAATTGTTTAGTAAACTCGAGTCAAAAAACTAAAATTGGAAATATGTCAAGCGTTCAAAATATATCAGTATGAAAGAGACGTTACACAACTGTTAGTTACCATTTAAAACAAAATTTGACGTTTGGTAGATCATTTTCAAACACATTTAAAATAAAAATAAACTTACCGAGCTGTGAACTGCTTTTCAGTCCCTAAGAATCCAGGCATAAGGAAATCAAACAAACTCCATAGTTCCAGAACGTTATTCTGGATAGGCGTTCCGCTCAAAATCAACCTGTGATTCGCTTTCAGCGCCTTTATAGCGATGCTCGTTCTCGTTTTCCCGTTCTTTATCACGTGACCTTCATCGAGTATCACGTAGTTCCATTTGATGGTCGAGAAAAAATCGATATCTTTCCGCACTATATCGTAAGACGCAACGATAAGGTTATATCTTTTAAATTTAGGTCTCAATTTCTCTCGTTCCGTCGGAGAGCCGTTGTATTGAAGAGGACGAAGGTACTTGTGTTTTACGAATTTTTCCACTTCGTACACCCAGTGACCTGAAATCATTTTTTTGTTTAAAAATATTTTCGCTATACTATTATGGACTCAAGGAGCTCAAAATAAAAACATTTTTGCACGCTCTATACAAATCCGAAAATTGGGGGGTGATGGACAAATTTTAGAGAAAACGCATAAAAACAATCATTTACATTTTCAAATTCAAAAATTTGAAATTTAAACATCGAAATAAATTTCCCCAAAACAAATAAACAACCAGAATACCACCAGAACCCAACTCGGTTTAAATATACGATTACATAACTGCGTTCTGCGTGAGTTCTGAAGAAGTATGAATATGTTTACCCTGAAATATTTAAGAAAATGTCTAGTAGAAAGATGTTTTTACTCGCTAGATGAGTATTTCAACATTTACATGTTGCTGCTTGTCTTTTTTATTGGTATTATGGAGTTTTTTCTAATACACACATCATCAAAAGTGTTGGACCCCCTGTATAAATCCGTCTAGAGGTACGTTATCTACATTCTGTTTGTGAACAAAAAATCTTTATATATTTGGCAAGCAAAAAACGCAAAAAACCGTTGAGATAAAAATGTGTTTGGATTTTTACAGAAATAGGTCAATTTAACGGTAGTATTTGAGCAGAAAGTATTAAAATAAAATTTTATACTGTAACTTTTAAAATGCCGCGAGCTGAAATTTCTGGTTTTGATAGAACACGAATAGTAGCCCTCTTCCAAGCTGGATTTTCAAATCACCGAATAGCACTGGATTTGGGTATCCCAAGAAGTTCGGTTATTCGAACAATTCAAAGATTACAAGAAGCTGGCTCAGTTGAAAATCGGCCACGCAGTGGGCGTCCTCGAGTAACAGATGATAGGGAGAATCGTTACACTGCTTTATTTGCCCGGAGGAATAGATTTTCAACAAGTACAGCTATCAGATCGTATATTCAACATACCTTTCGCAGAGTTATTTCCACCATCAGAAGAAGATTGCGAATGGCAAATTTGCGCCCTAGAAGACCTTTAAGGGTTCCACGTCTTACTCGTAGACAAATTGCTGCTCGTCTCCAGTGGGCTAGAGAACATCATGAGTGGCTTTTACCACAGTGGCGATATGTGGTATTTACAGATGAGGTTAGGTTTGGACTGGTGAGTGATGACCGTAGAATAAGGGTTTGGAGAGAACCAGGACATCAACAGCGACGAAATTTGGCCCGAGAAGTTGTCCCATATCAGGGCGGATCAATAATGTTTTGGGGAGGCATAATGTTTAACCACCGGAGTCCTTTAATTCAGATCCAGGGGACAATGACTGCTGAAATTTATGAAGAAAATGTCATACAACCCATTATTCAACCTTTGCGAAATGAATTCGGTAACAACTTCATTTTTATGGATGATAATGCAAGGCCACATAGGGCGAGAAGGGTCCAGCGGGCTCTAGAAAGGGGACAAACAGTGAGATTGCCGTGGCCTGCGAACAGCCCAGAGATGAACCCCATTGAAAACATTTGGGACACTATACCTCGGGCCGTACGGAACAGAATAGATCCACCTCTACAACCCTAAATGAGCTGGCTGCAGCAGTAAATGAAGAGTGGAATAATTTACCCCAAGAAAACATTAACCACCGAATAATAGGAATACCAAGGCGTGTTAACGCACTGCTAAGATCTAGATGAACACCGAACTGGTTATTAATTATGTTTTATGTTTCTTTAGAATAATTATTTTTCTTTAATTTTGATGTTTAAAGATAAAAATTTTTGTACCTACTTGTTCAACTTTCTTTTCATTTTCATATTAATGAAATTAATTTAACGTTTTGTTAAATATAGTAAGAATATCCCCAATTTAAAATATATCAAAGATTGAAATTAGAAGGCTATAGTTTCCCAGTACGCCAGAGGGTCCAACACTTTTGGTGATGTGTGTATTTCTAATGCGTTAATGCACCCTGAATGGGTGTGCTTTAGTTCAAATCTCACTCACAACTCAAATGTCCATGTTTTTTTATGTAAATTTAGTACTTTTAGCATAGTTTCTGCACGTAGATATGCCTTCAATCGTATAACCATTTTGTTTCATGCAAGTGATTCTCAAGACAACATATCAAACCAATTTACACATCAGAATTCAACATTTTGGGATTTTTGGTGGATATGTATCTCTCAGAGACCTCCACTAAAACTGCCAAAATGTGTGATCGTAGGACCCCAAGAACATTACTTGTTTATTTTGTGGGCATGCGTTACCAAGTGACATATCGTCAAATGACACGCAACTCTGACAGATCTGTAGACACAATCGTATTAAGTCGGGAATATATTCTGCGACCGTATTTTGTTGTGGTTTTTTTGTACCGTTTCATACATTCTAACAACGTCTGTATCTAATCAATTGCACCTATCTGAGTGCACTTTGTATATTTTATTATCAGAATTCAGTGGAAGTATGTATGTGAGCGTACATTTTCATCCGTATTTGGTGTAAATAGCGCTGCATAGATGGCTAGATAAATGTGCTTTATTGTCTGAAGAATACAATAATTACTAATGGCACAGCTAACTTTAAACAAAATTATATGTAGAACTCACATATAATTTAATATCCTTTACAAATTAGGAATTTTTCAACTTCATTGCGAAATAGCTTTAAATTGTTGATTCTTTTTATATCCTTAGGGAGGCACATGTAAATTTTCAGACCATTATAAATTATTGAGTGTTTCACTAGTGTTGATTTAGGTACTACCAATTTTAGATCTTGTTTTCGTCTAATGCAGTGAATACTATTCAATGTCTCAAGTTCAGATAAGAGTTGCTGTTTCTTAAGAAAGTCATTATTTTAAGATTTAAAAATAACGGGCTGCATGTAGCTCTAGGATTGCTTTTAGATATATATCTAATAGTTCGTTTTTGTAGAATAAGCACCTTTTTGAAACAAATTTGGGAATAGACACATCAATCTTCTTTCAAATAAAGCAAAGTCTGCATGAGGCTGTGCTTTTCCCAACGTTGTCACTAACTGTTATTATAATAAAGGAAATCTTAGCCACTTGATTAAGCAATCGGTCTACATGATTAATAAAATTTAATTTATGTTCAATGGTCAGTACTAAAAATTCAATGGTTTTTGTTTTGTGTATTAAATCATTATTTAAATGCACACTATCAAGGGAGTATTTAAATGTTATATATTTTAACACAAGCCAACATTGAAAGTAATGGTTATCACACCATTTTTTGATTGTATATCACTGTCAATTTTTGACCTAGTTTCATTTATATCTGGTACCGTCAGCAAAAACCATTTATGTTTAAATGTATTAAATCGTTAACATAAACTAAATATAGGATCGGACTGAGTACCGATCCTTGGGGTACCCCTGCTTTTATATTTAATTTATTTAAAGTATAATATCTTAATACAATTTGAGATCGATTACTTAAATATATATTACACCAATGGAATGAAGTTCCAGTACAACCATGTTTATTTAATTTTTTAGTAGCATATCATTATTTACCCAATCAAAAGCTTTGAAAAAGTCACAAAAATAGCAATTTATCGTTGAGTACAACTGTTGGAGTAATGTGGCAATAGTATCCATGGTATTTCTTTGTTTTTGAAAGCCAAATTGGTTGTCAGTTATAATTTTGTTGAATTTTAGAAATTCTCCTTAATAGAATTTGAATTATTTTTTTAATTGAGCCCTGAATTTGAATAGACTCGTTATTGCCATCAGTACATGTTCAGATTTCATTTGCGGTTTACCGTCAATAGGCGCCAAAACGTGATGAAGAATCGTGAAAATTATTTACTCTGATTTCAATAACACGGAAAATAACACATTTCCTGGAGTAGATTATGACTGCTGACCGACCCCTATAGATTCCTAGCATCAAAAAATAACTTACCTGTCAACGTGGGTGGACATATAACTAAAGAAGGAAGCGGCGCACAGTCGGGGAATTTGGTTTCTCTATACCTAACGTCTCTATAAAAATGATCTCCAGCTAACATACAGATACTCTGCAGGGTCTTTCCAAGGCCCATATCATCGCACAGGATTCCGTGGAGCTTATATTTGTTGAGGAATGCCAACCAGTTCACTCCTGTCTGTTGGTAACTTCGTAATTTTGCTCCGATCGGAACTGGTACCACGTAATCAGGAATCACGGATGGAGATAATAGGTGTTTTAGAAATTCGCGTTCTTTCTCACAGTGACTGCTGAGACTACTATCTGTAACGTGGTTAAAAAACGATATCTACATAAATTATAAATTACCGTTGATATTACAAAATTCAAACATCAGAAAAAGTGTATATGGCAACACTGGAAATGTAGAAATGTTGTTTCTCGGACTTCCATTGTCTATAATCATCAGGTGAACTGACGATCGTGCTCCTTCTTTGACTATTTATGCCTTCTTTAATCAGGTTGATTTTTTCCTGAAGATTTGTTTGCGTGTTACAGATGTCACAACATTTCAATCATCCACACTGTCATGAAATTTCAAACAATTGGAAAGGTACTGCGCACCTATCGGCGATCCATCTCGCTACCACCTGTTACCAAAGTACTTAATGGATAGTTTGATGGGCAGCACCAAGCCGGTGTTGCCAATTACAGTGAATGGTTCAAAGTAGAAGTAGCCGACTGCAAATTTAACAAAACGCACCTTTGAAATTTGGTGGATCAGGTACGCTTCCGTCAAGGGGCATCAGTTGTACTAAGGTAGCAAAGCTATGAGTACCCATCAGTCTTACGCAGGAATTTTGATCGGACATCCTGCCCAGTAAAGGTACAATCAGTAATACTACGTAAGGAATAATATCAAACTGTAGGGCGTCGACAATGCAAGCTATTGCTTCTACAGCTCCTTGTCTGAAATAAATATAACAAGCAATTAGTCTCAGAAAATTATCTTTAAAAATCGTCGATCAGACCAAATATTTCGTGTAGCTTTGAAAATGGCATGGTTATTCCTTGAAGTGTCCAGATAAACATTAAGAGTCTTCGATTATAGGAAGTAAGTCGGCAGTGTGAGAGAGTGAAAAGGTAACTTTTTATTTTTATTCAACTTGACCAGTTTGTATATGTATGTATGGGACAAGTCTTGGAACTGAATGTTGAACCAGATAAACTGAACCAATTGAGATGAAATTTTGTACACACGTTTTATTCGCACGACAATACAAAATGACATAACTTGTAATAATATGGCGGATGCTACAAAACGGCGATTCAGCATTTCTATAGTAACCCCTATGATATACGTAGTCATGCCATAAGTTCTGTCCCTCGTTTTCAAACAAGTGTAGACCTGTTAATACT